TTTTTGCCAGCTTTTCCAGTCTTACTGACCTTTTAAAGCACATATACAAGACTTTTTAACACTACACTCTTTCTCTCACGCACACTCCCAGCCTGCTTCATTGCTTTCGGGCTGTATTGTCTTAAACCTACTGAGAGTTTTTAAATATTGTACTTTGTCCTTGGTTTCGTAAAACAAGGCAGGGGTATAATTTATGGTGCTGCTTTGAATTCCCGCCACAAAGGGTCCTTGTGCGCTGGTGTGCCTGCATTGTTCTGCCATCAGGAGTGAAACCGGGCTGCTCGTGTTAGACTGTGAGCTAATAAATCTTAAACAGCAGTTATTTTGAATGAAATACAGATGTCTTGAGATGGAAGACATCTGAGCCAGTGAAGTGGGAACACCAACTATCAGAGCTCTTACAGAAAAACGTCCCATTTCTACCCTGGCAGAAGATATCATGGTTACATTATTGAATTCAGCATCTTTACACTGCACATTCGGGCCTCGCCTGGTCTTCACATGTATGTTTTTGTAATTGCTGTCACATGTCTGTCCTGCCTCCTGTGCCCTCATGTGACCCACTGGGAAGTTTTGGGTTGACTTAACCACCTTCGTGTGACCACGAGACTGATTTTGTCATCGAGGTTATCAGGTCTGAGGTAAGTCAAATGCTTTGCTGCTGAGGTATAACTAAGTCGTACTACGACCTAGCCAGAGCATGCTGAGTAGGTACGTCAAGCCTCACCTTGCTCGCTGATGGGGACCAGGCGGTACACCTTGTACGGTTCTGAGATGTCCAGCTGGGCTCGGTCCATCACCTCCTTAAACTCAGGACTCTTGTTGAGGGCGCAGCGCAGACGGGTCTTCCAAGCGGCCGGGTTGTCCTGGCCCCCGTCTGTCAGCTTCCCCTTGAACTCTGCCCACGCCTGGGGAGGACAGCGATGGCGATCTCAGAGATTTAAAGCACACAAGATTTGTGGCATTTAAAGCAAATCTTGAGAATTTCAAGAGCTACCTTGAAGATCGCGGCGTCTTCGTCTTTGCGGAAGTCCTGTTTCCCCGCGTGCTTCCAGGGGATGCGGAACATGGTTTTGGCCTCGTCATCCCACACCAGCCCCGGATATTTCCCACTGCTGACCTGAAACAAACCAAAAAACACAGCGACGTTAGAGAAGCTTATAGTTTTCCTGAATTTCACCTAAAGCTGAATAACTGCAGACATAAATCAGGGCTGCTAACCAGCCACCTCTTCTGCATGTCTTTGTAGAAAAAACAGTGAAGTTTGCACTTGCACTGATTTCACTTATATATGTCAGAAAGCAAGAAAAAGCAGAACACATTCACATAATTGGAGCAATATCTGTTTATTTCTTAACCAACTAATCTAAAAAAATATAAACTTGATGAAAGTGCAGCTGAGCTCAACTTCAGCTGATATCACTTCTACACTATACACAGAATTTTGTGGCCTAAAGTCAAAATCAGCTATTTCCTGATATTCAGTTTATGACTTTAGTTCATTTTCAAGGGTTTAAACTGTTTTGTAAAAATAAAAAGTAGCAATAAGCACCTATAACACATTTATATGATAGTAGAAACAGAAAAGTGCATTTTTCCACAGCTGACCTACAATTTGCTTAAGCAGATTATGCAATTGCAGCTGATTTTCTAACAAGAGAAAAGTTAAACTTTTGCTGGTGTCATTTTCAGCCCCATAGTTATGAATATATGTTTGTTAGTGACCTCTCAATCACCCTTTTTCTCTTCCCGTTTCCCTTCCCCCCCACCCCACTCTTTCATTTGTCCTTACCCTCTCCCTGCCTCCCTCTCACACTCATGCACACACACACATACACAGCCACACACACCTGCTCGACGATCCAGGAGCGCAGTCTGCGAGTGGAGCGCATTCTCCCAGCTGCCATCGCTGCTTCTTTAAAAATGCTGAAAACACCGCAAAGTTTCAGGGTCAGCGGCAAAACATCAACACAAACAACTACGATCAACTGCCCCGACATGCCCTCTTACACCCACCCCGCCTCACATTTTTTAATAATAGCACAGTTTCACTCTGGGCACATCAAAAACATCCAATATTAGACATAAGAAATGTGTAAAAATATGAATAAACGTCGATTTGCTTTCGCGTAAAAAGCCAAGTTCAAGCCTCGTGTTCAAGCCGGGTCTTTAAACAGAGTCGACACACATTAAAAAAGAAAAGAAAAGAAAGACAGACAATAACTTTCTAAATTTAGGTCTTTTTTAAATGGAGTCTGGTCTGGAAACAACAAAGCAGCTGCAAACATCCTCCCACCGCCGCATGTTATATTTATAAAAAATCAAATATAGACGCTAAGGTGTTAAATTAAGGAAGTTGATTTAAGTTTCGTTTACCTCGGTCGTGTTTCCTCCGCGGTGCCTGCGGACTGACTGTCTTCTCCTCTTTAGTTCTGCGGCTCAGTCTATGAAGGCGCTCCTTTTCCCCGAAGTCACGTGGTTTTAGAGAAAGGCTCTGCTAGCCTGACACCAGGGGGCGAAAGTGAGCACACACAGAGACAGTCAGGTCCCTGAGTATGTGCACAGTGGAGATGTGACTGAATGACTGAAGTGCAGACTTTCACCTTTCATTCAAGGGGATTGTAATAAATATTCCATTACCTGTTTAGGAATGACATTCAAAGGCTCTAAAATAATTGGACGATAAGTAAGAAGCAGATTCATGGCCAGGTAAGGCCTGGTTCCTCATTGCTGCATGACAAATAAAGCAGATATATGAGCTGGAAATGAACTAACCAGCCAGGAACACGCAAATATCCAATCAGCCAATCACGTGGCAGCAGCTCGGTGCATTTGGGCATGTGGACACAGCCAAGACAACCTGCTGAAGTTCAAACCAAGCATCAGATCAATAAAGAAAGGTGATTTAAGTGACTTTGAATGTGGCATGATAGTTAGCGTGAGTATTTCAGAAACTGCTCATGTGATGGGATTTTATCACATAACCATCTCTAGTGCTTACAGAAAATGATCCAAAGAAGGGAAAATATCCAGTGGGCAGCAGTTATCTGGATGAAAATGTTATGTTTATGACAGACGTAACACACCATGTCACAAATGTCAGATCATCTCAAGCTGGTTTCTTGAACATGACAATGAGTTCACTCTACCCAGTGACCTCCACATGCACCAGACCTCAGTCCATTAGAGCAACTCTGGTATGTGGTGGAACAGGAGATTCACATCACAGCAGCCTAGAAAGCTGCAGCTGCTGTGATGCTATCTTGTCAATAAGGGCTAAAGTCTCTGAAGCATGTTTCCAGCAAGTTGTTGAATCTAAACCATGAAAAAGCAAGTATTAGCAAATTACTGGCAAGTTGTACTTAATAAAATGTCCAGTGAGTGTATATTTAGATTGATGTTTGTGTAACTTGTCCAGACAGTCAAACAGTTATACAAGAGTGTAGTTAAAGGTCCTTAGATCTTGTTTTAACTTGTCACCATAAGCGTAAGTTTCTACCTTGTAATAGGAATATTCTTTCTGGGTCAAAATGATGTGATAGTATTCATAAGGCATATGTTTGACATGTTTTTGGCAGATTGCAGGCCAACGAGTCATTTTTTGGCAGAGGCAGTGCGATGCCTCAGGAAATGTTCTGCTGGGAATTTGAGTCCTGCCAACAAAGTGAATGTTATTTTGACACTTTCCACCTACCTAAGCAGTGTTTAGGGTCATGTTCATCCACAATCATCATGGAAACAGTATTCCCCGATGGCTGTGGTCCAGAGGTGTGGACTCGAGTCACATGACTTGGACTCGAGTAAAACTCGAGTCATTAATTTTACGACTTTAGACTTGACTTGAAAAAATGTTCTAAGACTTGTGACTTGACTTGGACTTTTACACCAGTGACTTGAGACTTGACTCTGACTTGCCTGACATTACTTGAGACTTGAGGATAAAGACTTGAGACTTACTTGAGACTTGCAAAACAATGACTTGATCCCACCTCTGCTGTGGTCTCTTTCAGCATTGTAACTGCTACAAAGCAAAAAATGGTTCAGGAATGGTTCGAGAAGCACAGCAACAAGTTTGAGGTGTTGACTCGACTTCCAAATTTCCCAGATCTCGATCCAATCAGGTACGTGTGGGACGTGCTGGACAAACAAGTCCGATCCATGGACTGAACAGTTGGTAGCAACATGGGGACCAACACAATATTAAGCAGGTGATCATAATGTTACACCGGATCAATATATATATATATATACTAACAGCAGAGATTCTATAAATGTTCAATGATGTTTTTTTGACTGAATGATTAATTTATTCTTTATTCTTGTGCCTTTTTTCCTTACCTTCAGGTCCTTTTAATAAGAAAATACTAAATCTCCAAACCATCAATTCACTGTAGTGTGTTTAAATTCAAGTAAATGTTCTTTAAACCCTCTGAATGGTTTTCCTTATCCTTAAAGTAAAACAAATGAATCTCACTGAAATACAATCACAGAATAATAACTAACATAAGATGTACTTTACATTTTAAATTTAAAAAGTTCTTTTTTGTGTGAACTTAAAGTTTTAGCTTGGACTTTTTTCTTTGATACAGAATTAATTAAATGTTATATTTGATAACAGTTTTGCTTTCGCCTACAGGGTTTCTAAGTAGCGGTGCTGATGCATTCAGGAAAAAGAGGAAATCTCCTCTCCTTACACAAGTTTGTATCATTTCTTTACACTAACCTGTAATCTTATTGTTCACAAATGTAACATTTAAATTATCATTAAAAACAACACTTTAAAAGTCACATTTGGCTAAATTAACTGTATTAATGAAAACACCACAAAATCTGTCAAAACAAAGGACATCAGTAACTCCACTTTTGTTAAAATAATCATTCTATTTATTGAGATGATTTTCAACCTCATCTCCACCCATCGGTTATAAAGCAGAAAAAACTAGAAACTCTCAGACAAAATGTTAAAGATTGAAAAAACAAAAAAAAACCCCAAAAAACCATTTTGGTTAATAAACGTACATTTATTCTGAAACAGACGTTTCCATTTTTTTAACTGGATAAATCAAACTGAGAGTTTATTACATCAAGAGCCAGCTCCACACCACAAATTATTTCCTTTCAAATCTTAAAATTTGTGCATCACTGCTACCTAAAAGGCACCAGACGTGAGAGCAAAAGAAAATCACAAATGAATGATTTTTTTAAAAACCCATTCCAAAGGTTTATCTCCTTCAAAATAAAACAACAAATTTCCAATACATTTAAAATAAAATAAACATGCTAATTAAAAACAGTCTGAATATAGAGAGGTGTACTACAAAGAGATAAACTGGTTAGTTGGGCATGGCGAGCTTTAAGTCAGAGTTTTCACTGTGATGAAGGTGGATCTCTTAAATGAACATGAACCCTCAAAGTGCTTTTTACTACAAGCCTCATTCACTTCAAGCACACACATTCATACAGCGCTTTTATTCTAACACACACACACACACACACACACACCTGCTCTACCTCAGTGACCACAGGCTCAGTTTAACCTGCTAGATCACCATGGTAACTAATGCTTAAGGCAACCTGGTCCTGTTCTATGGAAAGCAGGACTCTGCTTATGGAGTTAACGTCAGCTTTAAACCTTGCTGTTCTTCTTACAGGGCTACATCGCCATGGTAATTTATGCTGCAGCTACACCAAAGCACATATGAAATCACCTGAAACAGTGCATCCATTCCCCGTGGAGCTCAGTGTTTTTAGTGACAGTATAAATAATAAGCATCAATCATTAAATGCAGATTTTTAGGAGAAACTTTATTTGTAGCTTTTTTTCTTCGTTTCCTGGAGTTTTACAGCAGTTTTATTATTCTGTATTCAGTCTGAATTAAACGACAAAGCCTGTTGAATTAATGGAATATTTATATTTCATTTATATTTATTGTATCCCGATGATGGAGCATTACTGAGTCTGTTTTCTGTGTTTAACCTGTTCATATTTCTCTAAGATTACAGCTTTAGTTTCCTTCATATGATCAGCTGCTGTGCTGCCAGTTTTCAGTCCGCGATCGGTCACATGCTACAAACTGTCTGGTTTGATCATTCGAGAAGAAGCGCTCATCTGCTACTGTCACGTTAAAATTGAGGTTTTCTAGGCAAGGCTAAAAGCTTTCTGTGGCACTCATCTTTGGCTTCATTTTCTTTTAAAATATATCATTCATCTCTCTCAGTGACCTCTGATTGACATAAATGGCATTCAATCATCTTGTGAAATAATGCGTCAAACACCACCTTTAATGTGAGCCCAGACCAGAAAGCTTCCATTAAAACAGAGAAAGTTGAGAAGCAGCAGTTATCTCTGACTGGGATTTTAGGTTTTGTCAAGCCAGCTAAAGCGGAGAAAGCCCAGCTTTGTTGAGCGTGCTTCATAGTACACTCCTCTGATGTGGATCTGGGTGGAAAAAAGTCTGGAAGTCTTCATTTGTTTCGAGGAACTTTTTCTCCAAGAGGAACCTCCATCAGTTTCTGTGGGGAGAACAGAAATCAGCTACATGATCTCAACCAATTAAGAAAGAGTAATTATTTGTAAAGGTTTCTGTGGAGAGTGGCCTTCGAACAGCAGAAGAAACATATGACTTGCTTTGACAGGCAGTTTCCTTAAATTCATTTCTGCTTTTTTTTTAAGGACAGATGCCGTGTGACTCCCCATGATCACATATTTTTAGTAACTTTGTGTCCATGTTGGAGTTTGTTTTGAATTTTTATGAGTCATATTTTTATTCCGGTGTTTTGTTTTTACTTGGTAAAGCGTATTGTACCTTTGAATTCTATTTTATCATGTTTTGGTTTTTTAAATATACTTTTTCCAAGATTTATTTTTTATATTTTTAGTGGCTCCTAATGTTTTTCACATTGTTAGTGTACTTAAAGATGATTGTAGTAATTTTAATTGGTTAATCAATGTTTTAAATACATAAAGTAATGCTGGATGTTTTATTATTGTAGCTGATTTTAATTTTTCTTGGTCATCTGTAATTTTATTTTACTGTGAACATTTTATAAATAAACTTGATTTTAGCCTCATTCATTCATATTCATTCATTTATTTATTTGATGTATTTTTTTTATATGAATTATAAGTTAAGTTTGATGGATTTTTTCTGGTTCTCTTATAAGCTATTTTCAAATCAGCTATGTTTATCTAGCATTGCATTACATATATACTTTATATTTAATTATATTTTCTCATACTGTATTTATACTATCTTTACTTTCCATCCAACCAGACTTGGCGGACACCGAGTCGTTCCCAAGCTAGCCAACAGAGATGATCTGTGCAGCTGGTCCTGGGTCTGGCCCTGGGGCGTCCTCCTGGTAGGGCATGCTCAAACCGAGCTCCTCATTCTGTCTCTATGGAGAGCCCTCATTCTTTCAGTCACTACCCAGAGATAATGACCGTAGGTTAGGGTAGAAATTTTTATTTTAATTATTTTTTTAAATCCCCTTTTTCTCTTTTCTTTTAGTTGTTATTGCTTTTATTGACATTCTCAGAGTAATTATAGGACATTTTTTGGTTTGGTTTGGTCATTGTTTCTTTATTTTCCCCTGAATTATCCAAAGTGCCCAGTCCTACTGAACTCTCTTTGTCTGTGTGCATGAATACATTCATCAGCGTCCCACCTTGAGCAGTCGAGCTTGGTAAGCGTTGTCCTCCTCGCCCTCTCCTCGCTGTACGTCCACCTGGTACCTCTCACAGGCCCGAATCACCTCGTTGAGGTCGTAGATCAGAGCCGGGTCCAGAGAGTGAGCGTTTATCAGGCTCACCAGGTACTCCCTGTAGTGCTTACTGTGGGAACACACATGAATCTTAGAAGTTATCTTCATCAAAGGAGGCACAGATTCACCTGCAATATTTGATTTTGATTTTTAGGCGGTGTGTTGGAAACGACTTCACTCAGCTACAACCTGAACAATCCCAGTATTGACTCTGTGGGTCTCGACCAACATGTGAGGAAACTATCTGACCACCACTTTACTCACAAGCTGCCGTTCAGCTGAGTCTGCTTGAGCAGGCAGTGCAGAGTGGCCCTTTTCTTTGGAAACTGCTGCCACAAATGTTGCCGTGACAGTGAACCTAAACAGTTCAAACTGGTGTGTCTTCTTGCCTGACCTGATTTACTCTCTGAATCATACTTTGGGTTTTAAAAGGAAAAAGCTGATGTTAGCCAGTTCCTGGCAGCTCTGAGCAGATACCTGGTGTGGTGATGAATTCTTTTACGGCGTCTTTGTTCCTGAACTCGTCTCAGTTTACCGTCTTCTAATGAGATTACAGTAAATCAGTCGCTCCAGGCTTTAAATCTCATTTTGTTTCTCTTTAAACTTTGGTATGTATTGGAATTCGTAAAATGTTTCAGTGTTGGGGAGGACCTGCGTACGTAGTGGTTCATCTGAAGAGGCTGAAGTGACTGAATAATGCAAGAAAAGAAATTCCAGCATCATCCTGTCTTTCCGGATCTGCTGGATTTCTTGAATGTGAACCCTGATAATCTCTCTGACAGAAGTTAAGACGTTTCTGCACCTGTGTGTATGATTTATCGCCGTCTCAAATGTCGCAGACTGTTTCCATAAAACAACATTAAAACTTCTTTTACGGTTGAACCTCAACTTGAACTAGAAGTTGAATTGGAAGCTTTTTAGGGACTTCATTGTTTAGCTCTATGTCATCACTCTTGGAGGGATGTTTCTGCTGCAGCAGGCAGCTGTTTTGAGCGGAAATTCTTTAAGATGTCACAACACACCACCAGACAGAGGCATAGCTGAACATAATGGAGCCACTGAAGAGTCACATATTTCTATCATGAGGTCAGACAGATCACAGTGGGAGCAAAAGCGAACATTACTAGCGTTTCTCCCACGTGCAAATTCCTGGTTTAAAAAGAAGATTCGACAGGAGTGGAAAAAAAACCAGCAACCAGAAAAAAACTCCAATTTGGACAAACTGGGACTTGAAGAGTGTCAGAGGTTACACGATGAGGGAGTCTTCAAGTTTTATTAAACTCTCAATGTGTGTCCCTGCTGGCTACAAACAAAGAAACGACATCTTATTCAGCCTCGGTTCCATTCATGCTAACATACTGCAGTGCTAAATGAAAAACCATAAACCAGCACAGAAGTGCAAATCACAGCATAAACATTCATCCTTACAAACAGCAAACTGGGCATGAAGGGAAATAAGAGCCGCTACCTTTGTGCTGGAGTTAGAAAAAATACACCCGATTCAATGTAATGCTTATCTCTACACATGACAAAAAATATATATAAATCTTTAGTGCTGATTGAACCTTTATGTTTATGCTGGCCCTCAGTCATCAAAACTCCCATTTAAGTATCTCGATCACTTCCCCCTGTGTCACAAATCACCTGTGATGCTACAAGCTTCAGGGTACGGACAAAGAAAAAATACACACCAACAACTGCCTAGTAGAATAAAACCATACTCCATATATGTACAGTATACAATTATGTGTAATCAGCAGTGCTATAACATGCACATGTGACACAAGACTGAGAGCACATGCTTCTATTTGATGGGAAGCTTCACCGTCACCACTGACAGGCTTTGACTCTTTGAACACAACAGGTCAATGCAGGACAGTATACAGGTTTTGATGAGCTGTGGAAATCACATGAGAACCGCAACCACAACAATGACAAAACATCTTCATGTGTAGAAACAACAGCAGCGCGTACAAACATATTGAGAAAATCCAATATGTTGAAACAGGAATTAGCCTAAGAGCGCTGTGAGTGGCGTTCTAATTTGAAACTTCCATCGAAGCAATTAAGATGCATGAAAAACTGTAAAAGGAAGCGGACGTGGAAACACAGATTCACTCACTCGCAGAGTCCAGCTTGTCCCGGCTGTGTTTTGATGCCACACGGTGAATCCACCTGCTGACCGCCTTCATCCTTCTGCTCCATCACACCACATTCATCTGCACCAAAAACACAAAGTCAATTAAAATGTATATAAAAACCACAAAACAACAACAACAACAACAACAAACAGTCAGTGAATTCATGCTAGAGCTCATTTATTAAATACCACCTGCATTCCTACGCATGGACACTAGAACTAACAGCCCCTTAACAACATCACTGTCATATTACATCATTCCTAAACATCAGCTGTAATCTTGTATCCATTTAAATATTTCTTATGTCTAAACTCCTTATTTACTGAATATGAGCAACATTATCATCATTACTATGAGGGTGATGAAACACCATATGGACCAAAGTATTGAGCCACAGGTGTGTAAAATCGAACACTTCACCATGTAGTCTGCCTTTACAAACGCTTAGGAAGGAATGGCTCGCTCTGAGGAGCTTGAGTGTGGTAATGCAACAGGATGCCACCACAGCAGCAAGTCTGTTTGTGAAATGTCTTCCCTCTGAAATATTACACAATCCGACTGAAGAGGAAGCATTTAGGCACCTCAGCGACTCGGCCTGGTGTCGGGCCTGACCGTTAAAGAGCGGATTACACCAAGTGCTGAGGCATAGCTGCCGAGCTGCAAACCTCCCCCGCCATTAACAGCAGCACAAACGCTGTGCACCAGCAGCTTCATAACAGCTCCTGTTTGGTGTATAGCAGGCCCAGTACTTTTATCCATGTAGCGCAGTATTTATTTACAGAGCTCAATTTTCAGATATTATCATAAACAAATACACTGCTATCGATTTTCAAAGATCTAAGAAACAGACACCCTCTCTACTTTTAAGACTAGACTCTTTTCTTTATGATAAAGCTTATAATAAGGGCTGAATCAGGTGACCCTGAACTGTCCCTTAGTGCATTGTGGGAAGTCCCTCGCACCCTGAGCCTATAAACAGCCTGATGCTATTGCAGCATGTCACTCAGTTTCTTTTCTCCGTTGTTTCTCTATGGTTGCAGCAGATGGCTGCCCTGCACTGTGTCTTCCTGTTTAAAGAATATTCTTCCTCCCCGCTGTCACTAAATGCTGCTCAAAGAGGATCTTCCGATTGTTCTGATTGACTCTCTAATATCGTAAAGTCTATGGTAAAATATAAAACACTCCCTCACAACTATTGTTGTGAACTGGATATGCATGAATAAAGGTGAATGCATTTATTTTTCTTTTAATGCTTTTATTGCCAAAGTTTGTTTTTGTTTTGCACAAATGAGAAATGAAATGCTCAGCATCCGACTTCGCTTCTCTAAACATCCTGAAAAGCAAATCCAACCACTTAATTTTCAGAAATTGTTCAGTCATGCCAGGATTCCCATTAACACAAAAAACTGTTTTACCGGTCTGAGCTCCATTAGAGGGATCCGTGTTGAACTCCACACCGCTCCTCTAAGGGCAGAAAAACAGATCAATAAACACGCTGTTTACATTTAGATCGGGGACGAGCTCATCAGGTTTAAACAAACCCTCACATACCATCCACCTCTTACTTATAAATATAATAGAGCCGCAAAGAGACGAGTTATTAGTGAGGATAAATCACAAAATAAAACTTGTGTTGTTATTTGTCAAAAGGCCAAATCCCTGGTGACTCAAAGGGGAGGGGACACACCAAGCACAAACAAAGTTCTATTTACAACAGGACATAGGCTCTATTTACTATATCTGGCACAGTGGACTGTATGAACACAAGGACATTTTGTTTTATCCTTTACAATCAAATCATTTTCCCTTTTTTTCCACTGCCAGTCAGTTTATCCTCCAGATGACCTTAAATATCTTCATTCCAACACAGCTGATATTACATTATTTTGTCAAAGTGCATTATATTAGAAATACATTTAGAAAATTGGATAATGTGGTTGACAGAGTACACAGAGCTGCTCAAACAATTAATAATAATTAAGCTGTAAAGGTGTAAGCTGGTTTGCGGGGAGAGCACACTAAAAAGAAAATGGACCTCTTTGAAGCCAGAAAACTATCTGTGGTTCTGTGGGACAAAGTCACAATAACACAAACTTAACTATTCCAAAACCTCTTTCTCCTGATCATCGCGAGAGCCCAAGACAAAGCATTTCCTCACCGGTCCTTTTGTTTATTCACTTCTTCTCCTCATGATTTCTTTGATAACATTTATCATCTATTAACAGCTTTACTTTCAGCATCTGTATGAAAGACGCTGCTCGACTTTACTTAAATCCCACTGGTAGTGAGATATGAGCTGGAGTCAGGGTAAAAAAAAAAAAACGAGAAATGTTTAAATATTGTTGTGGGAGACATTTTTTGTGTTGTTGCCTTATGTGTGCTACTAAGGGTCACTTTATAGTATGGTGTGTTTATGGGACTGTATTTAAGGTAGACACATGTAATTAGCGCCCGGTGTTATTGGTCGGAAGAAGCAAACAGATTGTGACCGCTGCGCTGTTGTGATGAATGACGTTGATAAAGAGACTGTGGAACAACAAATACAAGTGATGGCAGTGCAATAATATGTTAAACAGACAGGATGAGTACGGCTGGAGTTATTAGACTGTGACAAGTTTCATTCATAACAGTGGCGTCGTGTCACCCCTGCCAACGACCACCTCAGTGGCTTTTATATTCCATTTCGAATATCAACGTTTTTTCTGGTTAATCTGCCCTGGATCACCTGCAGGTCATTTAATATGCTGCTGCTAGGCTCACTACTGGGTCTCACACCAGATCCACCACTCGCCGGCTTCCTGTTCCAGTGCAGCTTTAAGAAAGTGAAATTGAGCTCTTTTAAAATATTCACCTGAGGTCAGCTGACCCAGAGGCCTCCTAAAGGTCAGCTAAGTCACATGTTTTGTGGCAGTTTCTGCTTTTCTGCAGTTCATACTCTGCATTTTGATTCTGTTTCCCTTACTATAAGTTTCTGCAATGCATTTCAATTCTTTAAACTCTGCATTGTCTCAGATTATTTCCTGTAAAGCGCTCTGTGATTCCTGTCAGTATGAACAAACATTTCTCGCCCGCTGTCTGCTTCAGCTCATGGCCGACTGCCATCTGCTTCAGGTAACACAGGAACTGAACCATCTCTCATGGAAAGCAACAGTTTAAAATAAAAACAATTTACTGGGTGAACAGCAGAAGAAAATACATGTGTGGTTTGTGGTTTTTAGCTCAGCTGTGAGAGGACAGGTGGAGCAGGATATTTTAGAGAGTGGAGCCAGGTGGATTCAGCGGCACAGCTGTCAGCTGATATGTAATCCACGTAGGTCGGCTGCAGCTTCCTGTACAACAATCAGCAATGCAAATAATGCAGACAATGCAAAGAAACATACATACGTGAGCGTCTCACCTGTAGAAACGCCTGTAGTCTGGGAGGCTCCCAGTCTCTAAGATAGAAGAGGCAGTCTCGAGGGTGATGAGCGTGCAAGCAATTGAGAGAGCAGTCAGGCTTACATTTAGTCTGCAAAAAAAGGAGCAGCAGGTTTTAGTCAGGTTAAAGAAAATGTTACACTTTTAACTAAAAATTGCAACACTTTAAGATGTGTAATCTTTGTCTAAATATATCAGTCTTAAACCAAATTGTATGAATTTTCCAGACATTAGAAGATGACGAATGAACCAGAGGATGTGTCCTGAAACAAATGAGACTGCAACCTGCAGCTTGTCTCATACAAAGCACATCCTCCCAACAGGCTCAGCCCTCTTTCTAGAGCTGTGATATTATGGAGAATTGGAGCTCAAGCCTACATGCCACTGATATGACAAAGAAAAACGGGGCTGTCTACCATACAAACATTCATCCTATAATTCACCCTCACCTTGTGGTAGGGGTTGTTGCAGCCACTGCAGAACTGGTACCTGCACTGCGAGCAGCTGAAGTGCATGCAGCCGCCCTTCGTCAGAGCGTACTGGAACCTGCAGTGAGGACATGCTGCAGGAAGATGAGATAAGAGCGAAAACAGGAACAATTGGAACAGATGAAAGCACACATTCAAACTGTGTGTCTGTGTGTGGTGAGGGAAGCTGACTGATGTACAAACAGAGGAGCCAAACTTGGAAATGAAACTTGTGGTTGTGGTTTTAGGTCGAGTCTCTGGCAAGCCTTACTAATTCCGTTGTCTCTCAGATAGCCAGCCAGTCCCTGTCTCTGGTATTCCGGGTCATTCTCCCTCTTCCACAGTTGGAACTGCTCGCAGGACACATCCTGGTGCTGAGGTTCCCACTGTGACCAGAGAAGGGGTTAATGATTTGAGTGCTTCCTGTACTGAAGTGGCAAAGTTTCAAGGTTGCATGTGGAAACTTCTGAGGCCTCTTCCTTATTTTTAATCAAATGTAAGATAAGATAGACAGCTCCCATGCACAACGGAAAATATTTCAGATTATACTCACAGGTTTCTTGCACTGAGCACAAAAACTCTTGTGGCAAGACAGGCATGTGACCTTCAGTTGGTCTCCCTCGTTGATAAACCCAGACGTGCACTGAGAAAGACAGGAAAGAGAAATGCAATAAAGCTAAAAATCCCTATTAGAAAAGGCTAAAAGATCTCTGCTTGGTTTTAAATAATCAGTAAATACACGGCTGCAGAAAATGAAGGGAAAACGGCCATTAGCAGCCCGTTCTTCTCACTGATGACAGCAGGTTCACACTGAGCACATGTGACAGGCGTCAAAGAGACAGTGTAACAAACCTGCCTGAAAAAAAATAAGTAAATAAAAAATCGTCCAGCGTGCCCGGTCTGGCAGTGGCTCTGTGATTTTCTCTCCCACAATTTGCAGAAATCTGAGCTGATGTGATTTTTTTTTATTGATTTACTCTTAACAGGATAAGATTTCGATTTTTTTTCCCCCCCAATACACCTGATGTCAGTCCATTACTAGGCCGCTGATTTGAGTGGACTCAGGAGGCTCTTTGACTTTCTAAATGAAATCATATGTGGTGTTTTATCCATTTCAATAATGTGCTCATCCAGAAAACAGAGAATACAGCTGTACCAGGACTGGCTGCGTTTTTTTTTTTAACTTGTATCATAAAACTAAACTAAAGTACCTACAAAGGCTGAAATAACACAAAGTGTTTGTGGATGTTCAACTTTTCCTCCACACTTCATGTAAGTTAACAGGCCAATGATTATTTTCTAAAACAACAACAAAAAAAAACAACTGTAATCTACAGCACTAACATCCAAAGTTCCTAATTCCTTATTCTTTTAATGTTTTCAAGAAAATTAGTTTGTTTCTTTACTTAATCTAACTCCATATATAAATCTCAAACAACTGCTACAACTACAGGATAAAACTAGATTATTTTGACTCTGAGGTGCGTTCAAGGATTGTCTGTCCTTGTCTGGTTACACTGTCAATAAAATCCAGGCTTCAAAGACGGAGCTTAAAATAACCCAAATTATGTGTTGTATGAAAACTATGGAATGCAAATTACAGGGTGGAAATCTGATTGTTAAGAAGATTAAACGACAGGGGCGAACAAGCAGACTGCGTTACGGTGAACTCACATGACAGCACCACATGAACTTGGGGTCTTTCATGAGAGCGTGCTCGGTCAGCTTTTTGTGGAACAAGTCGTACACCTCAGGCTCCAGGCAGTCCCTCAGCTGGAAAACAAAACACGACACGAGGCGTCGCCGCGTCGTTATTATAAGACGAAAAACAGCTGCAGGTTTTGATACTAGTTTAATGTCATTTTGTGCACTTTAAACAAAACATCTTCCCCCTCTGAGCACTTCACCCTGTTTAAAAATGACTATGTTGAGATAAATGCAATTATCATGCATGATTACAATCCACAGCATCTTCTAAGAATATCTTAAAGAGCTAAAAATCTGTTTACAGATCAAATTCTGTCTTAATAGCTGAAACAAAGCTCCATTCTCCCATCAACCCACAAATAACCCCAGTTTCATATTTTCTTCATAAGTACTTATGATCACATGGAGAATCAGATGCAAACTGAAATCTTGGCCCTTGTATCTGCAGACGACACTAAAAGCCCCTGAAGTGTTCTCCACAGCCTTGCATACAGTCAGGAAAAGATGTTCAAGCTGCAGTTCGTGAGTAAATAATTATAGTACGCTTAATCTGTTTATACAGCTGTTTATATTGCACATCTGTTTAGGCTTTGGGAAATATGATTGAGACTTTGTCTGTAGTTATTTCTCACATGTAGCAGGAGACAATTCACATCAGGCATGTTGTCGTCTGTGGAAATACTCTGAGGTTTAGGCAAAGGCAGCTGGAGCTGAGAGAGGCAGGACACCCACTTTACTACTAATTCAAGCGGCCATTATCCCCTGTGCTTCTCTCACATCAACACAAAAGGACACGGCACAGACTTTGTAGCAGAGAGAGTGCAGGTCAAAGTGTTTATTATGTGATATGATGCACATGCGCCTCCAACAGGAAATATCTAGAAGAGTTCAGGGCTCAGTGAACGTGTGAAAACAGCTTTTCACAGGCGTGGGGAGGGAATTTGAATCCGGACTGCTGCACTAGTGCCATGTGGCACGTGGTCTCTTGCTCATCCACTGAGCTAAAGTGTTGCTCAGAAATGCCTTTTATTACTTTAAATATGCTCTGTGTCATGTATTTGTAACAAAAATAAATGACCTGTTTAAAGATGCATCTGGTGTCTCTTGTTAAAAATCCTATTTAGGACTTTTCACGTTAACATTTCCGGCACATTTCCTCTGAGTTCACCTGTATATCCAGCGTGGAGAAGTAGCTGTCCAGCTTCTCTGGGTCGTTGATGTCGGGTTCGCAGCAGCTGGGACACACCATGTCTCGGATGTGTTTGTCTCTCACGGCGATGGTAAAGTGGGCCTTGAAGCATTCGAGGCACACCGAGCACTGACAGGACGTTAGAGACTGCATCTGGAGTACCAAGGGGAAAAGAAAGAGACTTTAAGAGCTGTGCATTAAACATAACTGGTTGCTGCGGAAACAGATCGCTCTCCCCGATGACCCACCTTGCTGCGGGGGAAGATGCTCAGACAGATGGGGCACTCGTTGTTGAGGAGACGCCTGATAAAATCTCTGTCATGTGACTCCTTCACGGCTTGCACCACATCCTCCAGGGAGTAGCTGACACCCGGCTCTTGGAGCAGCGACAGGACGAGCTCGCAGCGCCCCCAGCTGGGCAGGTCATACAATGCCAGCAGCCGCCTGCACGTCCTCTGAAGGGAGCAAGCCAGGTCAGCACAGAGGTTTATGTTAAAATGAAAAAGATACACGTCAAAACAAAAATCTCTTTCTAGTCAAACCTGTTTGTCTGGGTGTGCGGGATCAATCGGCGGCTCGGGCTGGGCTGTCCAGATTCGCTGGTGGAAAGCTTCCAGCAGGGGGCGCTGAAGCAGAGACAAAGCCCCCTGCATCTCACCTCCACTCTGCCGCAGGGCCTCCTCGCATTGGGCCACATCTTGGAAGCCCAGAGAGTGAAGCTCCTTCATCTTCACCCAGCAGGAACAACAAAAACAAAACAATGAAACAAAGGAATCACTTTAAATGGCTGCAGTGAACATAAAAGACTCACATCAAGAGTCTTTACACTGCTGATAAACAATATTAAAAACAGGCATTTGCTCTTTCACCAGTAAAGAGGTTTGAATCTCACCAAACAACAGGTGAGAGGTCCCAGCAGTGTAGTGAAAACTGGGAAGTTCCCAGCAACAACTTGGATTTTTTACATTTTCATTTTAATCCCTGTGAAGTTTAAGTTATAACCAACCACATGTTGTGGAGAAAAGCAAACAGACGTTTTTGGATTTTGAGGTGTGTCAAATGATTTTCTTAAATCAAAAGAAACAATTTTCTGTCGTAATTCACAAAATATTTGCAGTATGAAGGTTAAAAATAAAAAGAGTCCTTTTTGAGATAGAAGGAAGAAAAGTTCATACTTTCTTTTAACAATAAATATGTATTTAAAACTTTAATGTGCTTTTAATTGTCCCACCTTTTCTTTGCGGTCTCTCAGCAGCTCTCTCACGGCTTTGTCAGTTTCTCCTCCTGTTTTTAGCCACGCCAACTTGGCCTCAGCTCTGGACAGCTTCATGCTGTCACCTATGGAGGTCGGACCGCTCTTCTCGGACTCGCCTCCGTCTCTCTCCAGCACGGGCTGCGTCCCGACACGCCCCATTTTGTAGTTCAGTTGGACTGAGGCGGCCATGGCGCAGATTTCATCCAGCAGGTGAGGCAGCTCTGAGGTCAGCCAGTCACAGGGGTTAACGTTGCTGCCACCGCACGCGCCCAGAGCGGCGTACACCTCCTCTGGGCTAATGCCTCGCTGTTCTGCTTCCTGTGAATGAGAAACGTAATACATCTTCTCTTTTCCAGCGTTTCAATTCTATAATATTGTAATTTATTTTGAAAAATGTCATTTAAATGTTTTGAGGTGAGTCTGTGTGAAACGTTTGCCATACTCTGATGTGACGGACAAGAGCGAGCCCGTCTTCTTTCATCGTCTTCTGCCTCTTCAGCTCCAGGTTGACTCGGGGCTTCGGCTGTGGCCGGTCCTTAGGTCCGCACGGCGTCTGCTGGAGAGACTGGGGCAGAGAAAGTCCACCAGAATCTTTAGGGGACATGTTGCACATCTCACACACTGTGGAGGCCTTGGTGTTAGCGAAGGTGCAGAATTGGCAGGTCCACTGCTAGAAGAAGAAAGAAAAGCATGTAAAGCAAACACTAACAAAAACTGATGACTTCAAAGGCTTTGCTGGGACACCTCCATCCTCACTTAAACTAACCTGAGTGTAATCCAAGTGAGAATGGCATTCATGCTTTAAGTTATGTCTGACATTATGGTAATATTTTCATGTGTAGCTTAAACTTGACTTTAATGCTATAAAAAAAGGATTAAGTCCTCCTACTATCTGTGGACAAGGTCTAGATATCTGATTGGTAGGTGGTGATTCAGGACGTCATAATGATCCTGACCATGATGATGATGACAATATGGATCCTGGTCTATTGACTAATACAAGAAAAACTGACTATATCTAGAGATAGGTACAGCTGTTAAGCTTAAAGAACAGCAGGTGTAAGACAGAGGCTACCATGTAAAACAGCGGTCCCCAACGTTTTCTGCGCCACAGACCGGTTTAATGTCAGACAATATTTACGCCCAAGACAAAAACTGTGGTATTTTGTAAATATAATAATAAATGAGAATTCACTGTGTAATTGTGTAACTTTATTAGCAGCGTCCTCCTAAAATGCGCCAACTACATCCTCCTCTCTGGTCGCTATGGTAATATGTAAATATTTCTTTCAAAACAAGACGCACAACTACAACACGGGAAAAGACCCAGGGAAACTGAGTTAACGATAAAAACCCTGAAACACAAATTTCACACCCGGGCCCAAACAACTCATGTAACTGGTACCGGTCTGTGGGCCGGGGTTGGGGATCGCTGATGTAGAATGTCTTACAAACAAGGTCAAACCTAAATATATTGTACATACGATGAAACAACAACATGAGTTAGCCAAAAACATCTCAGAAACATCTAATCAGCAGAATAATTTAACAGCAAATTAATGTTTTTCATTAATCGGTCTTCTTATGAATTCTCTACTTCACTGAAAACCCAACAACAAGTGACTGTAGATAAATGTGTTCCCCGCAGAGCTAAGACTAACAGAAAAGGTTTTCATTCAGCAGGAATCTGTAGTCTCAGTCTGTGCCAACGCTCAGCACAGTAAAGACTGAGAAAATAAGAAACAGGTTAGTAGCGTTATCAGCAGCAGGAGACAAACCTTTGCGTCAGACAGAGATCTGAGGATGGACATGTCAGAGGAGACCGGAGGGCGAGTGGCCAGACGGGGGCGCTCACACACCTCGCAGAGGATGCTGCTGCCCTGATTCATCACAGTGCAGCTCTTACACTGCCACTCTGAGAGAACGAGCACCAACACAGTTCAGTTCAAATCAAATAGTTTTCAAACTTTAACATATTATGCAGAATTTTTATGTAAAAACAAATGTTTCCTCCATAATAAGTTAAAGTTCTGTGCTTTTAATAAGTTAAAAGCATTTCTACTTTAACTCGAGGGCACAGGGCGTCTGAAAATTAAACTTAAGCCTTTAAGTCAACCTTAATGGCACCTTAAATAAAATTTAAGACAAAACTTCCTGAGGCTTGAACTATTCCTCTCACCACCAGGGGGCACCAGTTACCAGTGTGTATCTCTTTTCAGCTGCCCACTCATATTTAAGAGATTTCCTCTGATGTGACCTTGATGACCTCCCTAGTTTAAAAGAAAGGTGACCTTGACCCTTGGCACCCCCCTAGTGATACAACCTGGTATTACATGCAGTGCAGTGCATGAATTCTTTAACCACAAACGCATAGTGTTTGATGTTATTCTCTTGAAAGCTTTAGTAAATTTTGAAAGGTTTCAGCTCTTTTAAAATACAGAAATTTACTATAAATACCTTTAAAAAATATTGCCTGAGTGTGTGGGCAAATAAGTCAAAAAATACTATGTTTATCTTAAGCTATATCTTAAGTTTCATTCATCCTCAAAACAGGGATTCCTGTCCTTAGTGGGAACTTCTAGGAATTGGTTTCAACCACAGAGAACAATAATAATAAATAACAATTTCCAACCATTTTTTCTTACACTTGGATCTTCCCCTTTTTCTAAAATAACAAAGAGGGTGGATAAGCAAGTGAACTTTAAACTCTATAGGGCCTTTTATAAACAAATGTGTTAATTCACAGACACCCTGTAACCTGCTGCGTGTGTAAACCTTTGCTCTTACCTGCATTCGGCGATGCAGGAAGTGACATGGTGCTTTCCAGAACAGTGGACACAGCTGTGGCGAGTCGAGGCCGTTCGCAGGTCGTGCAGAGAACGGCTCGCATCTCGTTCACTGTAGTGCAGTGAGAGCACTCCCACGGGGACAGAGACGGGCTGAAAAGCAGCGGAGAAGGACAACATTTTTTTTCAGCTCCTAACAAGAACACGTCTTCAGCTAATCTTCATTTCCTCCACAGCTGCAGATCCCCAGATGTGATAAAATACATTGTTAAGACATTTCAGGGATCTCTAGAGACCCTGGTGTTTGATTCTCAGCAAAAACTTTTGGAGTTTTGATCAAACAAAGTTGATCCTTTATTGTAACAAAGGAAATGGTGAACAAATCCAGCCTGTGTCCTTCCTGGCTTTGATCTGCTGCCAAATAAAGAGCTGAATGTGGGTTTTTCTTCTCACCTGGATGTTTTAGCAGGTGTAGTAATGGTCCTGTTGTGCCCTTTACGATCAGGGTGGGAGTGGTACAGCTTGTCGCACTTCAGACACAACCTCTGGAGGCATGTGGCGCAACGAGCATGGACAGCAGAAATTCCACAGATGGTGCAGGTGTCTGCAAGAAAAAGACGAAGAGTTAAAACAGTAAGCAGCAAAAAACAAGCAGAGCCGAGGTTTGACTTTTGTTTTGCAGATGTAACTCGGCCTACTTTGTTTGGTTTGCTGTAATTTGTCCCTCTTGTGACTGGCTCTGTTGGGGTGTCGGTGGAAGAGGTCATCGCATGCGTCGCAGAAATGTGGATTGTCACATGCCGAGCAAAACAGAGACGCGTCTCCGCCGCACAAACTGCACCCGCTCACTGCAGCAGAGCCTGGAGACAAACACGAAACAGACCACATTTTTAAAACATATCAGGTCGTTGCCATTTTTCACAAAATTTAAATACATCCTCAGATAAACAACACCACAAGATATTCCTTACATTTGACTCTTAAATACATTGGTATACTGAAGAGTTCATGGTTTACTCAGTGTCTGCAAGATCCCAAAATCATCTCCTCTCCACCACTGTGCCCGGTAGGTGTCATGAGGTGTTTGTGCTGATATGCTGAGTTTGGCCCACTCTGTCCAAAGGACATTGTTCCAGGAGTCCTGTGGTTTGTTTAGACGTGTTCAACTTTGCCATGTTCTTCTTAAAGAGAAGAGGCGTTCTCCTGGCAACCCTTCTAAATAAGCCATACTTGTTTTTGTTCTTAACGTAATGACGCAGTGTAATACGTGATATGGAAACTTTAGACCTGAGGGTGTACTTTTATTTTACCATAACTGTGCGTCTTCAAAAATGCTATACAAAGTTTATAAATTGCTTCGGAGCACAGCAAAGTTTCTAAAAAAGCTTCTTAACTTTGTGGCATCAAATGAAGAAGAAACTAATTTGGTTAAGAGTTAAGAAGAAAAACTGCTGGAATGAAAAAATAAATAAAATAAAAACTCCCAGGCCATCAGGTGTGGCAGTAGCTGACCTGTTGAAGGTTTTGGCACCAGAGCAGGTTTAGGAGGAAGAGGCAGGATCAGAGGTTTGTCCCCCTGCTGCTGCTGCTGCTGCTGCTTCTTTTCCTCTACGGGAAGCTTAGCCACAGAGTCAGTCACCATCTGAGCCTTAACAAAAATAAATAAATATCAGCATGACAAACAAAACGAATGAAGTCTGAAAAGGACAAATATTAAAAAACAGATTATCTTAATTCAGCCTGTTTTTATCTTTAATGAACTTAAATGAACTTTTCGGCCGACAGCCTTTTGAAACGTGTACACACCTTTGGGATGACGAATGGGATGATTTCTTTGAAGTGTTCTAGGTGAGGATGAGTGCCCTGAACAAACAAACATAAGAAAATGGAACATCAAAACTGCACGCACATGTTACCGATGATCAGATCTGCTTAGGAGTCGATACAAACCTTTACTATCATATCCACTTCCGTGCGTAGCGTCATGACCTCCAGCGTCACCGCTGCGACTTTTTCAGTATCCGGATCCTCGACTTCGTCGGGAAAGCTGAGGCCGTCGACCTGCTGGTTAGTGTAACCGTAGAGATAGAGGACTCTGCGGCCTCCCTGTGGACCAAAACCCACATTTCAATCCTAATCTTTTAAACAAAACTTAAAGGTTCTCAGTCAAAGTTTCTGCACAATCTTTGGACACAATGGAGTTTTTTCCTCACTTTGATGGCATCCACTGTAGTCCTGAAAACAGGATTGTTGTGCTTGACACTCCTCCAGTATCTGGGTCTGGTGGGAGAGGTCAGGTTACAGCCATACTTCTCCAGGATGCTCAAGGCTTTGATGAATCGATTCAAAGACTCCAGGACCTGGTGAGAAGAAAAATGAGTATTGATGTTAATCAGTTTGCCTCCATTATTCCATCCAAATGAATTATTTGTGATGATTTAGTTAACAACAATGTTACAATGAATCACAGCTAGCAGATGAGGCTGGTATCAAATGCAGGTTAAAAAAAGAGCTTTCATATCCTATCCTATTCATATCTCCTGTGAATTACTATGCAATACAATACAAGCATCCAGGATACTAATACTTGTTTCTGTTTCTCTATGTCATAGACATTGAAGTGATGCAGTTTTGCTATATCCCATGATATCGATACTCAAACTTGATTACAGAAAAGAAAAATACTCCAAACACTGACTTTATTTTAAGCTCCTGGTTCTGTGTGACATAATAGAGAGGGAAATCCCTATTCGGCCTTCTCAAAATCTTTTACAGAGGGGTAACCAAACAGAAACAAGCTGACATAAATGGGGAGGGGCTAACAGCTCGTTTCAGACAGAGGATGAACTGTCAAGTCCCAGTGTAAAATGCATAAGGATTATTTTGAATAATGAATGATGCAAAGCTACTGTAGCAGTTTAAGATTGGAACAAATTTACTAACAGAAGCCACAGTGCTGAAGATAATTTTTCACTCCCCTGTGGATATCTTCATCTTTGTTTTCATCCAAAAAAAATCAAAGATAAGTGTCACAAAATCTTTTTTCCTTAATAAAAAAAAAAAACTGAGTAGACCTTTGGGGATCAAACAGACACAGAAATGTTACATCAAACTGCACTAAAGCGATCGTTTAAGAGAAAAGATTACCTCCTGTTTGTTACGACCTGCCGAGTTCTCCTTCAGCATAACCTCAGCTGAGACGTGGCGGTACTTCTCCGACAGAGGCAGCTCGATAGTGGCCATCGTCTGAACGTCGGCCTTCACTTCCTGAGCTGAACCCGAGGACGAAAGGAGAGACTGGGCTCTTCTCCTGGCCTCGTCCATCTGGACGGACGCAGGACTGCTGCTCATTGCTGTTAGAAAGAGAAGAGAACTTTTTAGAGATCGTTCCAGGGCTTCAAAATCGAGGATCAGCTGATTTATTTGGTTTGGAAAATCACTGCAAATTCGCTGTTATTTTCGGTCTGTGAGACGGTTTTTGTAAAAGAAATAACTGATTAGAGGAAAACATAAAAGTCACATTAATGTGCGGCGAGACTCAGCAAAGACTGCCAGAGGAGATCAAAAAGCTAAACTCACAGTGTAACCTCCAAATTTCAAAATACATTAAACCTCAAAATTCCGATAGCGTTTTGTTAAGATGACCAAGACACTCAGTTTATTATTAAATATGATCTGTAAACTACTGTAATAAAGCTTTGCAGGTGTGGCTGTCTGCAGGTGGAGAGCAGGTCCCCTGCTGGTTCCAGCCACGCCTCATTCCACGTTGTTATGCAGGGACCGTTTGAGGCCTCGGGCTGTTTTCTGTCTATCTTACCCTGCTTTCCTGCAGGGTTAAAGATGTCCAGCTTATTGGTGTGTCTACTATGTCAAAGTTCAGTCATGCAGTTTTTATAGATGATTTGTATTTACCAATAACAATCAGGATAAATAAAGATAATATATAAATCATTACCACAGCATCAATATAAGGACCCAAAAATGTCAGCAGATTACTGAAATTATACAAAAGCTCTACAAAGGTTCCCCACAGAAAACTAAATCAGGAATAAGAGTGGAAAGTTGTTTCTGCCAGTGAAAAAAAACAAAAACAAAAAAAATTTTGAGATAGTAAGTATTAATCTTTATTATGGTGGCAAAACAAGACTCCATACCTGAGAGCCACAAAAACAGGTATTTACTCTAAAACATCTGTAGGAACGAGGTCAAGTAGTTTTCTACATAACAAATTTTAAATTGACTCTCAAAAAATGATGCTATAAAAACACCTAAGAAGTTGAGCCCTCGTCTTCACTTGAAAAATGACTTTTGAGAAGTCTAATAACAGCAGGGACCTGAACTTTCTGACCTTTCCCATAACTCCTATTATGAAGGGCATCACTCCATAGTTTCTTTTTTATTTTATTTTTTTATGTGAGCTGGTCAAATAAAAGGAATTTGATGAAATGACCCAATACACAGAAGTCAAACACAATGGTTTCATAACAGTGATTACCTGAGTTACCACCTGATTTTTAGACGTTCTTCAACTACATAGTATTAACGCCTGATCACAACTTTTCCACGTGTTCACAGATTAAATACTTAATATACTTTAACAAATACTTATCCTTAAATAAAAAAAATAAAAAATAGCTAGGTGCAAAACTTGCAACCTTGTTTATTATTTTAAAAATCAATCCAAAAATGGCCAATCCACACTGAAAAAGGACACGAGTGGCAGAGGAAGGATAACAACAGGAAGGATCAACATTCAGGTAAATCAAACAGTCATCGGTGACCTTTATAATTGATAATTTCACTTTTAATAAATCATGTGATCTGATGGGAAAGTCCAGGCTAATCATAGTTTCAGAGGTAAACAGTTCAGTATCACATCACAGTCGCCACTTTAAATCCGCTCCCTGCTACTTTCTGTACAGTAAAACATCAAATTAACTGGACCCGACGGTGGATTTTTTTGTCACTTTGACCGTCTTGAAGTCCCAACAATAACAATTCACAGCAGCTGAAAACGAAACTCTAAAAACAGAAACTTTAACACAGCTCCATAACTTAGCTTCATATCTGATCAGTTAACTTACCGCCTCAGCTGTTCTGGCCTTCTTTTAACGGTTATTTCTGTCGCCTCTTCTCCGAATAAAGTCTTTACATTTCCGCCAGCAAAGTCAGCATGTTTTAGATTTCAAGCCAGCGGTTAGACCCTCTTCTACAGTGAGCTCCTTCAGTCTGTCTGAAGCTAGCTTTATGCTTTAAACGCGGAACTCCTCCATACGTCCGGTCTGATTGTGATCTTTTCAAAATAAAAGCGGTATTTCAGTAACAGTAGTCATGAAAATGATGAACTTTACTATGTATGTATGTATTTATTTATTAAGCTCCCAGTTGTATCATGCCTAAAAAATTTTAAGTATTTAATTAATTATGACCAGCGACCAAATTATTAAATAATTATTTAATTAATTTTGTAAATATTTCATATTATATTTAAATTTTTGTTTGTTGTGACACATTTTACCAGCTTTTTGGACAAAAAAATGTGCCTGAGTCTGGTATTTTATTATCTGTACTATCTTTGAAAAATAATCATCAGTGATGCAAATTTGTATTTTTCATTAGTTATTGCATTAATTTTCGTTGTTTAAAACTACTAAATTATTTAAAACTACTAAATTAAGAAAACCTAACAAAAAAAACATCCCCTCCACTCTCGCTGGCCACTTAATTAGTGACACCAGCTCAGCTGCTTGTTAATACTAATATCAAATGAGCCAATCATAAGGCAGTAACTCGAACTGAGCATGAGAATAGTGTAAAAGGTGATTTCAGTGACTATGTCATGGTTGATGTTGCCAGATAAGCTGGTTTAAGAAACTGCTGATCAACTGGGATTCCCCTACAAAATCCTCTCTAAGGTTTACAGAGAATGGTCTGGAAAACAGAAAACATCCCGTCAAAGGCAGTTCTCTGGGTGAAAATGTTGATGCCAGAGGTCAGTGAAGAATGGCCAGACTGCTTAAAGTTGCTAACAAGGCAACAGTAAATCAAATAACTTCTCATTAAAATCAAGGCATGCAGACGATCATCTCTGAACGCACAGCACATCGAACCTTGAAGCAGATATGCCACAGATCTGAAGGCAAAAGAAGGTCTAACTTGGTACTACCAGTGAGTGCCACTTTATTAGGTACAGCCACATTTTTATTTAGGTTCATTTTAAGTGAGTAAGTAATTTCCCATTTATTTTTCTTTTTTCTAAAGTATAGTTTTATTTTATTTGACTTAAAAGAAATGTGTCAGCTCATAAAAACCTTTGTTTTATATATTTAATGTTTCTCAAGTTTCTTGACCAATCGAAAAAGAAGCTACTGTGCAAAGTCACGTTCATTTTAGCACAATCTTCTAGAAGTATATATATTACATCCAACGTCATTCATTAATCTTGCTCTTACTCTGATGACTTGTTGACTCCTTGAACTCCATCAGCAGATTAAGCTCCTTCATACAAATACAAGACAAAAGACGCGTTCAGGATGAGGCAATGAAGATCATAATAAGTAATCACATTTTGTTTAAACCACATGACTTTTTTTCATTGGCTCAGTTTCATTTTCTTTTTCAGTTTCTTTTGTCAAAGGTCCTTTAGGGGTGTGAAAGAAATCAGCTTTATACTGTAACTGACGTGAGGCTGTATCAGTGAACCTGATCCAATTTATTGTTCATTCTACAGACTTACACTGTACAGGAGATTAAAAGAGGCCATTTTTAAATTGACGGTATATATTTAAATTCTTAAACTCTTTAGAAATTGATTTGAAAATGTATTTATTCTAAAATCACTATTCTGCTCTGCAGACAACCGCCTTCATCTTAAATAATCCTGTAAACGCCTCTCGGTGTCTGTACCGTGTACTGGGTTGCCATGTACAGGATATTCAAGTTTGAAAGCTGAGCCTGTGCCAGGAGAGGAGGAGGGAGTCAGTAGGAGGCGCATCCGATATCAAATCGAAAGCAAAGTGAATGAGGAAATAAAAAAATCCACAAGACAGACATATTGTCCTGTGCTGCAGCCGTCGGACTTCATTTAAACCGCTCCAGCGGATATATTTATGATAATATATTCCTGAAAAAAGTTTCTTTAGTCATGTCAAAGGCAGCGACTCTGAAAATAAGCAGCACGACTGCGGGGAAGGTAAGTCGGTGAGCTTTTGCTTTTTGGGAGTAAGCGCTCTCTGAGGAGGGCAGGTTGCAAGGTAAAGGAGCTAAACGGCTTCCTGCGGCCTGCAGTGACTTTAAAGCGGACTTGGTGTGAGTGTTGAGCCCCGGTGTGTTTGAAAGCAGTCGGTTATAGTTGAAAAGCAGCGGAAAGTCCCCCGCAGCGGGCAGGAAAACGAAAGTAAAGCTTTTCACAAACGTGAGTCAGCACTTGAACCGTGTTTTATTTGGTTTATTTAGTCTGCTCACCTTTTCTCCACAGGTGGACAACTTCCGCCAGGCTCTGTATCGGGAGGTCAGTTGACACATTGATTGCGTTAAATTAGTAAAATATTGAAATAAACCAACTTTTGTGACTTAATAATGACTTGAGGCCCCTCTTTGTGTGTGTGTGTGTGTGTGTGTGTGTGTGTGTGTGTGTGTGTGTGTTTCCAGGCAGAAACTCTCTTCTCTGACTTCATCCCTCTGAAGATCATAAAGCTGGACTCTCTGCTCAAGGTGAAGCATTTTAACTGACAGCCTCTGTGACCTTTGATCTGGGAAAACTGCTCTTCACTCTTGTCCTTGTGTTTGTCTTTTATTTGATTATTTTGTCAGGATGAGGGCTTCAGCATCACAGAAACAGCTTCCCTTAGGGCTCCTCTGGACATCCCCATACCAGACCCTCCTTCCCCCGAGGACGAGGTGAGAGCGCTGCAGCCTGTCACGCTTTTAGCTTCATCTTTCACTAAACATGGCCAACATGAATGTGTTTGAGATCACTCATTCCATATGAATGTGCTTCAGTCCACTAAAACGGTGAGAAGGCTTTTACTTTGACCCATACACTGACACAAGAACTTGTTCCCTGCCTCTCATGCAAGGACGCTTCAACACTAGACTTGAGGAGGCGGGGATCGAACCACCGACCTTTTGATTAGTAGACTGCTATCAGCCCAGCTATGAAAAGTGCCATGGAGTTTTCTAATATCCTCACTTTACTACACAGGCGTGGAAGTTAATATTTCTGGAGCTTTACACAATCACTGTGATTTGAAATGCACATGTAATAAGACATATTATTTAACTTGGGCTGTACCAACGCATGTTAAAATAAATCTGGGTTGGTTTGGACAACTTTAATTGAGGCTCGTGAATTATAATGAGCCGGACATCCAGATAAGATTCAGGACGACGCTACTAATTACATTATTATAACAACTTATCTTTATAATATCATACAGAAGGAATAAGAAAAGGTCAGTTATGGTCAGAAGTTGGGATAAGTGAAGGTCGGTAACTTTTGGTTCATTTCATCTGTTTATTGAATTAAAATAAAACACCCTGAGACTCTCAGGGTGAAGCTCGGGATAACATAGTGACAGAAGCTTAGATCTCTGACAGCAGATTTGGAGGCCTGTAAAGACCCCGCTTTGCAGGTTGATATTTGGTTGCAGCTTGTCATATACAAGGCACATAATATTCCTTAAAGCTTTTGAAATCAAGGGAACAGTTTCACAAAAATTAAGCTCAAATTTTCTGAGAAAACTATTGACATTAGAGACCAGAAGCTTTGCCCTTCCAGAAATCTCAGTTATATTTTTTAATATACTGAAAGTTACTTTTCTGACGTGCTCTTCACTAGTGCATTAATTGACACAGTCGACCGACACACTCACATCTCACTGTGACAGCTTTGACCTTTGAATGTGTCTTTATTGGCTCTGAATGAATTTTAACTGGATTAATGTGAGTGCAAATATTCAGCTTCCTCACTTGCAGAAGGAAAAAGGGGTATAGCACCTATGGAGACATCAAAACATGTGCTATGATTATCAAAAAATGACCCCACCCTGCCATGTTGCTGTGGGGTCACAGATAGGATTATAAAAGAAGGAGGAAGGCTGTGCACAGACTGCTACTGTGACATCTGATTTTTCACATTTTTAATTGATTTAAGACGCCCGGTAAAGCCGATCTTTTCTCACTCTGTAAAAAAATGTCTCTCTCAGGAGATGGAGACCGACAAGAATGAAGACGACGAGAAGAAGAAGAAGAAGCGTAAGGCATTTTTGTAGTCACACATGTGAAAACTGAAAGGTAGCATGTGATGTCTGTGGGGACGGGGAACAAAAGCTTCATCTGTTCTCTCTGCTCTTCAGCGCCGAAGTGTGGCTTCATCAAGGGGAACGAGAAGATCACGATGGTGCTAGAGAGAGTGAAACCAGAGATAGTCGCTTTTAGAGAGACCATCATCACTGTGAGTGAATCACTGCCGCTCTGAGGGCTGATTGATGCTCTAAGACAGGAACAATATGAGAATGATTTTAAAATGAGGATTAATGCTCTGGGTTCAAACTGCAGGTCACCTGCTGGATTCAGCACCTCATCCCAAAGATAGAGGATGGAAATGACTTCGGAGTTGCCATCCAGGTATACGTCGTCTGTTTAATTGGCTGCTCTTTCATTTTAACTGAATATAAAGCCACTGATTTTAACTTTTGGATTAATGTGATAAAGAAATACGTTGACCTTTAAGGTTTTTTGGGTTTTTTTAAACCACAGGAGAAAATCTTGGAGAGAATCGCTGCAGTGAGAACCAAAGTCGACGGTTTTCAGACCAACATCAACAAGTAGGTTGGACGTAAATCCTTCTTTAAAGCGCGGCAGCTGCCTTTGTGTCATTTTACTGAGAGTGGAGCCTTTCATCACTACTGTTTAAATCCTCAGGTACTTCACAGAGAGGGGGGATGCTGTGGCCAAAGCTTCTAAGGAAACTCATGTGGTGAGTGATGATCTCTGCCTTTCTGCATTTGAACGCAGACTGCAAACATCGCGCCACAGAGTTCAAACACACTTAGGGTGCTTTCACACCTGCTGTGTTTAGTTCATTCAAATTGAACTCTGGTTTAATTTGCACCCCGTTGCGTTTCTTTTGTGCACATGTGAGCACAGTAATAAAGACCCTTTGGAGGAGGTAGTGTTCCTCCCGTACGGTTCATTTATGTTGTGAATGCACTCTGACCTTAATCTAAACTGCCAGGTGTACGTTGCTAGATAAGCTAAACATCTCCCTGTACCTACATGTGGTTTGCATTCTGGGATGTGGACAAGGTAGACAAAGGTCTGTACAGGTTAGCAACTAGCTATGAAATGGACCTAATCCTCCAGAACACAGCACCTTGTTCCTGTTTGTACTTTTGTCGCTCCCACCCCAGGCACATCTGGCCAATACGGGGACTGAATGTGCTCACGTTTTTGTAATCATGCACTTTGGTTTGTTTGGAGTTCACTTGGATTCTTTTCTGGGTGAAAAGAAGCCAAATCACAGGAAAAAAGCTACAAGTTTGCAAACTCATCAAATGATTCGGACCAAAGTTATAACAAACTATAGGTGTAAAAAAACGCCCTTAAAAATCTTTCTCATATAATAGCTGGAGCAGTGGTTCCCATAGTTTTCTAATATTGTGCATCCTGACCACCACATGGAGCAGAGGAAGTGATGCTGGATGAGTTTTGGGAAATTTTCTTTCAAGTGGAAAGAACAGCTGGATTTAATGCCAGTATCAGATTTGAACAGTATAAAAGGTGGATGATAGCGGCACTTTGAAGTCTCACTTTTAGCATTTTGGCCACCACTGTTAATTTTTGGCCACCCTTTTGTCCAGACATGCCTGCTAATTACTGTGACATAAACTAATTAGATGCCAGGATTTCACGCACCAAAACCCGATCACAGACTTCTTGTCTGTTACACACAGCAAGTCACATTAGTCAGATAACTCTATTCAAAATGGATTAAAGTCAGTAGAAGCAAGACTGAATACATGTGTGGATGAGAGCTGCAAAGGTAAATACACTGAATATGAGCTTAAAGCCTGAGAGAAGACACAAAGATCTCAGAGATGGATGAACACTAGCTGGTTTTAGTCTTTTTCGTCACTGAACATCCCAACAAGCCTCGAAGTTTATGACACAAAAAGGAAATATGAAAAATGCCTTTAACTCTTTTTGTTCTGCCCTCAGATGGACTACCGCTCACTCGTACACGAGAAGGACCAGGCCATCTACTCGGATATCAGAGTGATCGTCCTCGACATCCGCGGCTTCTACGTAAGAAGCCTACATTTATATTTCTCCCCAAATACTTTAAACCATGGAAAAAAAATGGATCTTAAATAAAATATTTGAGTTTTTCTAAGATTAAAAAACTGATTTTCAAACAGTTTAATCACTAACAATGTATTTTTAGCTGCTGTAAGTCAATTATTAATCTGCATCTCTGCTCGTTTCCCTCAGGCCGAGCTTTATGACATCATCAGCAAAAACCTGGAGAAGGTGACCAACCCAAAAGGAGAGGAGAAGCCCTCGATGTACTGAGGCTCCCGGGGAACGGGAAAAGCCACTGGGATGAATTTAAACAACCTTCAGCTGCATTGATCACCTGCTAAACTCAATATCAATCAAGTATCCGGCTCTTTGTTTGATAAACATTTAAAATAAACACATAAACAACTGGATGGTTTTTTTAGTTCTGCTGTTTCATGGTAACACTTTGGTTTTATACCAAGATTTGCACTAAATTTTAAGTTGTGTGGTAAAGAATGAATAAAGAAAAGTGTTTTTCAGACTGTGTGACATCCTCAGATTTATTTTTAACAAAGAAAAACTTTTCGACATGTGCACCTCATCAGTGAGGAATCTTATTACAAAAATATCTTTCTCATTCAGGAGGAAAAACCCAAAGAAAAAACAAGACATCAACAATAATAATTACATAATAAAGTCAAGAACAGCAACACAGGAAGGTTAACCGGCCTCCGGGCATTTATACTTCTGGTCCTTCTCCACCAGGGATGAGCTGCAGAAGAGAAAATATGCAGCCATAAATCATCCTGTGAAGGTTTAAAACACCGGGGGAGATTATGGGACACAATCAGGCGTTTGTTTGTTTACCATGGTGATGTTATTGCCATTGAGGAGGATCTGGTCGAGCTTGGTTATCCTCCTCCCCTCTGGTGTTATTTCACTGCAACACATTTGTTTATAAATATAGTCAGCGGTGAACCCGAGAAAAGGTGTAGTTAGAGTAAAAATGCAACAGGAGTACTTACAATTCTGTCACATCCTCCAGGACCATGTCTGACACACACAGTTAAAGACAAACTGTGCAACAATAAACAGTAAAGAGACATCAAAGTGCAGCTAAAAGCTTTACACAAACGAGCAGGAGGATGTGGAGACGTGCACGAGAGCAGCACCAGCGCCCTTTTAGAAGATGCACCAATGTTATCAATTTGAAAAATCCTAGCTGACTTCCCTCTTAAGTTATCAGATTCACAAACTTGGGTTTCCGAGGTGCCCACTCAGGTGATGATAATACCCCATCAGACTTTTAAGAGTAAAAATGAAAGAAGCCCAACAGCAGGAGGAACCCAGGCCCCACTGCACCAGAATAAGATCTGACAGCAGAGGGAAATGGTCTGTGGCCACCATCTGCTACACCATTTATTACCATGGTTTATTACTCCTATCTGGATAGATTGACACGCCTGAAGTTGAACTGTTGTAGTGTGATCACTGACTGTTTCCTTAAATTTTTTGATCAGTCTATTTGTCCCTTGTTTGTACAGATCTACACACTTTTTGTGCCAATGGTATTCTGCAACTGTCCTCTCTCACATTTCTAAATAAAACAGAAACAAAAAGTAACACAATAGTTCTCGTACTGCTTCTCATCGCATGGGCTCCACCTGTGAGCATGGATGACTTCAAACAGTCGATGGTGTGTGCAGCACAATACAGTAAGACTTTGTACATTGTTGGTGTTGAGGCGTGCACTAACTCGCTCATCTGGACACGTTTTAATTAAAAGATACTGACGAAGTCATCGAAGCCCAGCAAGGTGCCGACAATTTCTTTGTCAGTTTTCATGACGATGTGAATTCGGGAGCCGATACATTTGTCCACAAGCTCTGCAAAAGGAAACATACAGAGAAATTACACATCCTGTAATTGAGGTGAGTGTTTCTACTTTTTACACTTCACTTACCTACCTACTTTATTAACTGGTGTTTATCTTTGTTAAGGACTCAACAGTTAACCCTTTGAAATACTATAAATTTTTAATAACTAAATAGAATAAAAAAGACGACAATGTAATTTTTAAATTTATTTTGAACATGCCAATAGGGCAATAGACGATAATCCAGTAATCTGTAAATTTTCAGCTAGAAACCTGCCCTCTCTGCCACTTTAATAAACTAAACCAAATAAGAAGCATTTTGCTTGTGCTTGTAGAGAGTAAAGCCGCAACGTTAGCTCCCTACCGGCGTGATGCTAATGCTAACTAGCAAACATCTGCCTACAAAATGATTTTCAGTGAGCCGCGGCTCAAACTGCGGCCGTCGCACGCAGACTCGGAACAGCCCAATTTAAACCCACAGACGTCAGGAACAAAAAACAGCATCATAGAGATTTTACAAACCGAGCGGGAGCAGCTGCGACGGGTTTGTAGCCGACATGTTCAATCAAGAGACTTCCCTCCACAAAGCCAGAAGTAATCGACAGACGAACAGTAGTGGGCCAGCCAGACAAGATCAATCAATCCAGAAGAATTTCGTCTCTGGGGAAACAAAAGAGTCTCCTTTTTAAGAAATTCAAACATTCATGGTTGCAACCAAATATAATACACTTTTTAAAAATTCAAACAACACACACACACCTGAGGGTGATATTAAATTATTCTGTATGTCTCCACACGATGGCGCAAGTTGTGTCGAGGAACACATGACATCATTTTTGTGTTTAAAAAAGAGAACAGAACAGAGATCAAGATAATTCACCCCTGTAAAATCTGACCGCGGATATTTATGCTTCATCTCTCCTTGACAGGTGGAATTTAAGGTGACATGCACGTTGTCTATTGAGCGGGAAACACAAGAGCTAAGCTAACTATCTATTTTTTAGATGCAGATTATCCGGACTTTATTCTAGGGCAAGCTGTCTGATAATATCAATGAAATTCCAGATCGAAATGAAGGAAAATATGAAGGAAATGTTAGTCAACTCATTACTTTTTCCACAAGAACTTCAGCCTGATTGCATTTAAAGCCTTTAAACTCATTCTGTCCTGCTTAAGAAAAAAAAATACACTCCATATAATTGTTAACTGTTATCTAATTATATTATGTTATATTGGTCAACAGCGAATTAAAACTTTAATCTGTCATTTTAATGTTTTTATTACGTTATATTAATAACATTATACAATTGGAAACCTTAGCTAAAAAGTAATTTAATAAGATAGGCAACAAAACAGTTAATCAGTTAAAAGCTAGTAAGCACAACTTAGCTAAATAATTATACTTTACAAGTCTCGATTTTAGTAAAATTAATGTATTTTTGGTTAAGCTAGCTTTAAAGTCTAGATTGACATTTATCTCATTAAACCTGAATTTATTAAGGTAAATTAAATTCAACTGACATTTTATTTTAAGTTGAATTTAATATCAATGCAGAAATTTTAAAAACTGTAATAAAACCTTGGCGTTTGTCTGCACACTTAAGAACGTTTTGTCCAAGTAAATGTGCTCCATTGACTCTACTTAACTGAAGACTGTCCTTGGGGAGCAATTAACTGTAAACTTAAATTTCGCTAAGCGAAAACGGAAGTGCGCTGCGGGGAATGCTCTTGCCCATTTGGCCAGTGAGGACTAAGCGGAAGAGAAAATCATCTCTGCTGTGCTGCTGTCACATATTCAGGGAGATATAGACAGAACAGTCGGCCTCGGTTAGCTGTGTTTACATCCAATTCCGGAGCTAAAACAACGCTAGACTGCGGGTACAGGAGCGGGGATGGAGCCTCAGGGCAGAGACGAAGGGAAGGGGCCGGTGCTGCACATCGTGGTGGTTGGATTTCACCACAAAAAAGGCTGCCAGGTACGTGAACCCCTGCTTCCAGCTAACATCGGCTAACTGCTAACCGAGTCCTCACATCGAGTTGACATAAAGGTGCATTTTCACTAAACTTCTGTACAGTACGAGTGTCAGCTTACGTGTCTATTATGCTCTTGTTTTTTTAAACAGCGCATGCACAGTCCTGCAGTAATGCGGACATTTCTAAACATAAAAACAGTAAAAACTACAGACTTCTCACTGCCTGGCTTCCCTGTCAGGTAAGAGGGGTTAAGATCAGCTGTTTGCTGTGGGCTCACATGGTTATATAACGCCAGCCCTGCTGCCAACAGTTCAGTGTTTTCATCACAGGCTGCAGCATACTCATCATCACTGCTCCTGGACCCTGCTTGTATCTGGGTATGCACAAAAATGGAGCAACAAGCCGATTAATCAATCAGTTCAGGTTTTCTTTGAGCTGTTTAGAAACATTTTCTTGGTCTCATGTCATTGTTTACTTAATATTTAGGGTCTTTTGGTCAAAAGAAGACACTTGAAACTGTCACTATTATAGGAGTTGTTGTTTAAAAGTGAAAAATATGTTTTGTGCCCAGCTGACAAGACAGACAGAAGGCATTACTGACTCATTATTCTAGGACAGCACTTGAGCAGATTTGCATGCTAAAAAGTTTTAAAAACTCCTGCTCGATCTTGCACTGGCCCTTTACAGGACTGGTTAGTTTATCCTCTGCCTGAAACAAAGTCTCTCTTTAAAGAGCCCCTTCCGTTTAAGTCTGCTGTTTCTTGATTGGCTAACTTCTAGAAGCTTGCTGAGGGGCAGTAGCACTCAGTGTTTACCTTTTTATTTTATTTTTTTATCTTTTTAAGGATTTTTACTACATATGAAACTTTGGCCCTCCAACGGGGAGGTTTACAAGATTTCACATTTGTAGCAGTTGTTTAATTGTGAAAATAATTTGTCTGACAAATCATCACCTAAGACCAAACTCTGTGTGGCCGTTAATGTAAAGTGAGCTTAACACCCTGCTTTACTCATTCTAATTTTCTCTCACATTGTTGTTTTGTTCTTCTTCTTCTGCTGCTGATTCAAATTTCATTAAATGTGCAGTTACACACTGAACTTCCTCCTCCTCCTCCTCCTCAGTGGTGGTGTTGTTGTCTCCGCTCTCCATCTGTTTTTCTTTCTGCGGTTTTGCAAACAGCTGCTGCTCAAGCACAAAGATAAAACAGCAGTTCTCCTGATGTAAAGATGAGACCAGAGCCCCGATAAAGCACCCAGTGTGCAGTCTTTGTTGCCTTTAATGGGCCTGCACTCGGGGATGGAGGTGGTGGAGGTTATCGGATAAGGGTCAGCGATCTCCTGCTGGGCGGCACAAGATTGGGTTCCTGGCTCTTTAATCCGTTTCTCTGCCTCTCTTTCACAACCGCCCTCCTCCTCTTATTCACCTGCTGTCCATCTGCTTGCCTGGCAGGATTTCGAGGCCTTTTACATGTATTTTTTATTGGAAACCTTAATCAGTGATGCAGCAGGAACATCCATCACACAGAAATATGTTTACTTATGTTTTCCCACTTACTTTTAAGCATGTAAACACAAATAAAAATGCACAAATGAGCCTGATAAAGGCATTGAAAGTTTTTTAATTCCTTGCATCTGCAAAGTTTATTTTTAACAGTACATTAAGAAACATTGGCACATACATTAAAAATCTGCACCCTAACATGTTTTGCAGTTGGCTTAGTTTGTTTGTTTGGAGGATTACATAGTAATTCATGGACAGATTTGCATGAAAATGCCACAAAATGTGGAGCTCGGTCCAAATTAGACATTTCATCCATAGACACAAACTATTATTTTGATAGTCGACTAGTCACTGATTATTTTTGCGATTAGTCGACTAATCAGATCATCATCCATTGGACGTAAAACATGCATCTTATTGCACCAGCGTCTGCTCTTATATAACTATCATTAGCTTACAGCTTGAAGTGTTTAAGGTCTGTGCTAACTAAAAATAAAGACAAGATGATAGTTTATTAAACTGTTAATGAAATTTGCAGATTGTCTCAGTGAAGTTTAATAATAAACTCAGCCGTCTGCTCCTTGCTATCTAAGATATAACAGGACATTGGAGTAAATTCTCGACCATCTCACACTTCTGTTCAATCAGTTTTCTGTGTGTCGTTTATTCAGCTGTGTGAAAACTGTAATCTAACTTTAATCTTTAAGCAGTTGTCTCTTCCACTTGTGCGGGTCCGCTGTTTTTGTTTTTCAATTGCATTTGAATTAACTCATTCTTTGTAGTTAAATTACTTTACTTCTCTCTCATTACTTCATGAGTAAGGAAATGTGATGTGTATATTAAACTTTCTAAGGTACACTTAAGTCACTGTTGCTGAGCGTTAGTAATTATTTCAAGTGCTTTCACATATGGGAACCTCAATTAGGACCCGACTCAGTAGAGAAAGGATCAATGGCAGTAGAGAAAGGAGCAAAGCTGATTAAACGAGCTGCAGACATGCAGTTCTCTTTCTCTTGTCATTAGAATTAAGTTTGATTACCTGATAGTACTGCTGTTTCTGTGTGCGGCAGTGCGAAGTGATGCTAGGAGCTGGTTTTGAGCTCCTCCCCCGAGGTCTCCTCACATACCTGAAACAGCTCACCTTGGAGGCATCTGGGTCAAATGCCTGAATGTCATATATCCTCCTGATGTGGAGGAACAGCTCTACACTCTTTCGGTCTCTACCCACAGCTTGTGGCTGCTGGTGAGGGTGTGAATGTTGGCCGACCAGTAAATCACCTGGAAAGTGTTGTTGGGATAAACTCAATTATCCTGAATAACACATTTGGCCAGGTTTTGGAATAATTGGACAAAAAGTTTGGACAAAAATATTTGAAAAGGTGTGGGAAACATCTGTTTCGAACTTTTTTTTTACATTTATTGGGTCTTCAGTGTTCTTCACATTGAGATGTTGTTGTTGTTTTGTTATTGACTGCCCCCATGAGTCTACTCTTAATCCAAAGCCTTCTCTGATTTAGTTGGATCTCTTTTTGCCACTCCAGTGACACCAAGTTGGCTTGAGGAGAGTGATTGCTCATAAATCCTCTGCTTCCAGGATGTGCATGGTATTTGCTTTGCAGGCCTGTTTCTAGGCTATTCCTCTGCACCATCAGTTTCATTGGGATGATGTTCTAGGCGGCCTTTGACACTACAGTTGTGGTTGAGTTTTGCTTCGGACGGTTTCCTGTCTGAGTGAAATGATCGAGCCATTATAGGAGCTGGCTGAATTCTCACATTACTAATAACTCCTATGGCAGAAGGGACACTGAAGTGTCTTTTATTAACGGAAAGACGGTAATAGCATGCACCGTCCAACTAAACAGGAAAATTAATGATCAACATGATGTAAATTGCTGCTGCTGTGTCTTCCACTGCATACCATAACTTTCTAATAGGCAGATGCATTTGTAACTTTAGATTTTCATTTTAAGCCCACATACAAACTACAGATGTTACACTATGACAATAAAATCTGGTTTCTATAAATTACTTTCATTTTGTGAAGCACTTTGCAAGCCACGTCTTTCTTTTTAACTCCAACTGCTGTAGTAAAGTGATGTTTTTTACCACATTGTCTACCTTTACCCTTCCAAACAGATGTCGCGTAGGAAGATTTATTACTTTAGAGGCCTTAAAGCGGGTACTTAATACACAAACGGCTCATAATTAGTGATATTAGATTTTAGAATATGTGTCCCAGATACAGGAAACAGTATAACTATGATAAACACAATTAGAGCCGTTAGAGAAGCATCCCTGTATAAATTTATTATGATTACATCCACTAAAATACCTCAGTGAAGCTAAACGTCCAGCACAAAACATCACAGTAAGAAGACGTGGCAAACTGCACCTCCTGCACCTCATTAAGTTTTCATTTGAGGTGAGGGTAAAATGATTAGGAAAACACATGTGAGGTCATTCAGTGCAAGTGATGGAAATTTTCCATGACTTCAAACTGACAAACGTCCTCATTTGTATTCAGTCTGTTCGCAGATGACCCGTGTGAGCTAAAACAGCCTAAATGAGGTGTTATTCTTTCTCCGTTCTTTCCTCAGGTCGAATTTTCTTACCCGCCGCTGATGCCAGACGAGGGTCATGACAGCAACCTGCTCCCAGAAGAGTGGAAGTACCTCCCGTTCCTGGCTCTTCCTGACGGAGCTCACAACTACCAGGAGGGTACGGCACAAACTCACTTTGTAATTAAGTCTTATGAAGTCTTACAAAGATCCCAGTGTTACTTCATTTGCAGAGTGCTGACAGATTGTTTACAAATGGAGCATTTTTCTGCTGAGACTTCAAATGTGCTTTTGAAGCTTGAAGTTTTGCTTATGGGCCCGTGTAGAGTTTTCATGTTCTCCACTTGTCTCCAGGTACTCGAGCTTCCTAGCACAGCCCAAAGACGTGTGTTACAGTCACTGGTTATGTGAATGTGAACACGAATAGTTGTTTATCTCTTTGTGTCAGTCCTCTGTTTGTTGGACGGGCTGTACCACGAAGCAGGCCGTAATATTCATCAAAAGGCATCAAATTACTGACAAGATAATTGGAGGCCTCAGATACCTGGCTGGTTATTATGCCCATAAAACAGGGTTTAAATCACTGTTATTGAAGTTTTTTTATTGAGTTTTCAAAGTGTGGGAATGAGTCAGCAGGTGCTTCTCACACAGGTGATAAAATCATGATTGTCCTCCGGTGATTTTAAAAGGCTGGTGTCACTTCTGTAAACAGAGAGGTGGGTGTGAGCGATAGTGAGTGACTCGCCTGTTGTGGCTGCGGTCATGTGACGGGCCCGTGCTTCACGCTGACCTGTGAAGGCAAATAGCAGGAACCGAGCCAAGGTTCATATCTGTAGTTTCAACTTCAAAAACTACACTCATCAGCATGGAGAGGACAGTTCTCACTTCCTGCTCAGAGCTGTCAGCTGTTTGTTGGTCAGCTCGGTGATTCAGCAGTGAAAAAACGAGGGCTTCATGTAACAGAGACTGCTGTTACACCAAGAGACTGATTAGTAAAAGTATCCAGGATATTAAGGAACAGCTTGCAATAATACACCATTTAATTTAGTGAGTCATGTTTCTGGACTTCAGTTTTCATCACTTTTTAAGGGCTGAAAAACCCAGATTTGGATTCTGGGGTCACTTGCTTTACTTGATATTAAATATCATTAGAAACTGCTTTGTTAGGTTTATTGAAATATGGTCTGGATAAAAATAGAATTGTTATTTTTTCCCAAGTCGAGGGCTGTGTCCAGAAGAGCAGGGCCTGGGGAGGTGCATCCTCTTTGAAATATATTTAATAAAATAAAATTTTAAGTAGTATGCAGATATCTGCAGAGTGCCACCGGCCTATCCCCAGCAAATGTCACTGGGCTAGGACCATTGCTGCAACATAACTGGGTGTATTTACTCAGATTTGTCATGCAGCGTATTACACACGTGACTCACATGTGAAAAATCCCCAGTTTGCGACTGGGAGGAGACATAAACACAACCTCAGGGCTCAAAAGTTGGTGCCAGGCCCAAGCCCAAATAAATGGGTGAGTTGTATCAGAAAGGCATTTGTACTTCATCAAACATGCGGGTGTTGCTTTCTGCTTTACTGAAGTACAGCTTTAATATACTTTTGATGTTTTTCTTTCTTATTATACTTTCATCTTCTACTTTTTTCTACTACATTTTTGGAAGCAAATACTGTAATTTGGCACAGTGGTGTAGTGGTCAGTAGTCAGCACTGATGCATCACAGCCAGGAGGCTGGAACCCTGAATGTTTTCTCCAGATACTCTGACGTCCTCCTGCAGTCCAAAGGCGTGTAATAAATAATGGATGAATGTATGATTAAATTTGGCTTTCCTAAACTGGCCAGCAGTATCTAAAGTAATTACAATCATCTCCAGCTGCAGCTTTAATGAATCAATAAGTATTATCCAGTAATAATGTACATGGAGCTGCAAAATGAGTAAATAATGCAGGAGGGCTCATTGCTGCATGAGCCTTGAGAGTTTACACTGGTGCTATGTCTGATCAATTATGCTGACTTCCTGTGAGCCCCCCTGCTGTCCCCCCGAGTCTAAAAAGTCTCCCTTGAATACATATCAGCCTGAGCTCCACTCGCACAGTTTTCACTGTAGAGAAATCTCTGTGGATCGGTTCCTTTGTTGCCTCCAGCGTGTTGCGAACTGATTAAGAAACAACAGCGGCTGCTTCTGTGAAACACTAAAAGCAAACAGGGAGTCTCCTGCACATGTTTGGCACTGGAAAATCACCAGTCTCATTAAACGATTTCAAAGCAGTTTTCTTAAGCTATCGCATCCTCGCACAGGTGATCCAGTCAGTAAAAAAGAAAGATGGTGATCTAGTGGAGCAGAATCTGTGTGCTGTGTTGAGCAGAGACATGAGAGCTGGATCCTGGCATATCAGGGCTGCTTGGTTGGGTTTGACGTACGGAGAGTGTGGCCTCTGCCCAGATGCCCCCGCCGTTGCCTCTTCTTTAATCTGTGACGTCCACAGTCTAACCTTTGTGACCCCACTGTCGTCTTGTTCAGAGGAAATACTAGTCACGTTGTGAAATCCTCCTCAGCCCCCCTCCTCAGACTGAATGAACGGTTGAGCCCTGAAGTTTTATTCGAGTCTCTTCCTTTCCCCCCCATCTTCTTAATGACAGAGGACAGCTGTCGTGTCGCTGCAGTTTCTAATCTTTGTGCTTTTGATTGATGACTGACGTTGTTTCTATATTGGTAAATATCTCCCAGTGAGTGTAGAAGAGGAATCAGGTTGTAAAGCACATGATTTTTGGACTCCCAGTCCAAACCTCTCAGTAATGAGAATTTCTCCTTTTGAATTCCTTATTCTTCACTGTACATAAACCATAATCATAATGATTTATCTTGGGGGGTTTTTTGTTGGGTGAATTTATGTGTTTTTGAAGTTCTCTTCTGCTAATTTTGAAAAGCATTTTTTAAAATGTGTTTTTTGGGAAGCAAAACGCTTGAGATGCCTCCGTAAACAAGTTTTAAAATGCTTAAAAGGATGATGGGAATTTGGACGTCTAGTGTAGCAAAGATTTTATTTGTTCAAATGTCCAGAGTGTCCCTGAATGCACCGAAATAGTTCAACATGACTCTCAAATGCAGTCATCCTTCATTTATTGTTTCTGGCCATTAAAAAATTGCTGATTCCAAAACTGTTGATACTCAGCTCTCTCAGTAGCCCTAAAATGTTTATTGATTGTTGTTTAATAAAACAATTATCAAAGAACTCTCAATGTAAAATAGATGTAATATTCAGTGTTAGAGCCGTGCCTCTCTATCAGCTGGAACACTTAATCTGTTTCATTCTGTGGTGTCCAATTAGATGGCAGGAAATCCATCCAATGTACAATGTACTCTGCAAAATACTGCAACAAAAATTGTGTTTGAAGAAAACAACACAAAACGCAGCACAATGAATAAGCATTTCTGTCTAATATGCTTTTTTTTCTGGCGTTAACTGATTATTGAAATATTAAAATGACTGTTGTACCCTCTGATACGACTCCCTGAATCTTGGAGCAGAAATTGAGACTCATCAGATGCAGCCATGTTTTTCCAGTCTCTTAGGGTCGAGTTTTTGTGAGCTTTCGTAGCTTCAGTTTCCTGTTGTTAGCTGACAGGAGTCACACCCACTGTGGGCTTCTGCTGCTGTTTTTTGTGTGTGTACATCATCAGAGATGCTCTTTTTCATACAATACCACATTCATTGCCACTCGAATCGCCTTTCTTTCTTCCTCTTTCCGATGTTCAGTTTGAACTTCTGCTGGTTGTCTCAACTGTGTCCTCATGCTTCCATGTGATTGGCTGATGGGATATGTGCAGGTGTCTGTCTTGTAAAGCCGGTTCTGAATTTCTTAAACGTTGCTTCTGATGAACTAAAAGTAAAACTTAAAGCAAACATTTTTAAACAGAGTGTAAACTGCACAAACTCTTACTCGTGACTTGTGAGCTGTAGTTAATCTGAACATGAAGAACGGCTTTTTTTTTCTTTTCTTTTTTCCAGCTATCATCAAGCAACTTGTAAATGTTTGCTTCTGCCTTCAAGTTTATCCAGTTTGGCAACTGGTCTGAAAACCTGCCGTCAGTCACTGCAGTTCCACAAACACTCTTTATCTAAACTTACTGGTTTTTATTGTATTGATGGTCTTTGCTGAATCTGCTGTTTTACCACAGAAAATGCATATCAGTCTCATCTAACTGCACACAAGTGATTTTTCTCATGCTGTTTATTCTTTTCTTTCTGCCACGTAGTATAATAATGTGATTGTGTCTTTTTGTTGGTTTGCAGACACGGTGTATTTTCACCTGCCGCCTCTCAGTGGAGACACAAAGTGTGTCTATGGAGTGTCCTGTTATCGTCAAATAGAAGCAAAGGTCAGTTTATGAACGGCAATAGGCACACTTTAATGAGCAGGCACCTATGTGCAGCAGCTCTATGACAGAAAGCTACCCCCATGACATGGGTGGGGAACCAGGCAGTTTATGTAAATATATTTTTTAATTTTACTGATTTTGTAAGAGCCTGGTAGGATGTCATTTGCAGCTACTGCTAAAAGGTTTGAAATGTGCCTTAAACTTCCTCATTTCTTTAATAGCCACCGAGGTTGATTATTTCTGTTTTCTTTGTATTATTGAAGGGTTTTACCTTACAGTATAAAGCACCTTGAGGCCACTGTTGTTGTGATTTGGCACAATACAAATACAATTGAATAGAATTGAATTGCCTCGTCCCAAAAGCAAGAGTAGTTCCTGAAAGAAAGAGGTGTTTTAGTTCCAGGAGAAAAAGATGCCATTGTGATCAAGTGGCTAAAACTAGAGACAGAGCTGCTACGTTTGCAGGAAAAGGGTGACGTGAAGTGTGATGATCACCACTGTAAGTGAGGTCTGTAGTTTCACATTTAATAACTTCAAACATTTGGGACCCTTGCATCTCACATGGTAGAGCTGTGGACCATCCCAGATCATGTCACACTCTCTTCTCAATTTCCCTTTCTGCTCTAAGCCGTACTTCCTAAAAATGGTAGCCATGGTACCTTAACCCTAGCCGCCTGTTGGCTATTATTGTCATTATAGGATGTAAATGTGCATTATTAGGTTTCTGCATTTGCTTCACTTTTCAGACCCAAAGCTGTGTCTGTTGTTTGCATTGAGTCTAGTGAAACTGACCCAAACCTTTTGCGCTGTAACTGCAGCATCAATTTAAAGCAGAGCTTGCAGAGGGAAGTTTATTTCACGATTGTTTTTTCTTGCTCGTCTTTCAGGCCCTAAAGGTCCGGCAGGCTGATGTCACCAGGGAGACTGTTCAGAAGAGCGTCTGTGTCCTCAGTCGAGTGGTGAGTCAGTCACTGGACGACTTAATTTAATAAGCTTTAATTTCAGTCTAAAAATTAAATTAAGTCAGTGGGCCGTAAAATGTTGCAGTGAGCTCACATGGAGAAGTGGAAGGAAATCGTGTAGAGAGGATGTTTTTATTTCCCGGCACTGTGGCCTCCTCACTGTCTGCTGATCTATATGTGTCACCATTGAGAATTAATTCATAATGTTTTATGTTTTACCCTTAAATCTTTTGGCTTTATAAGAAACTTCAGTTTCTTATGAGGTAATATTCAGAGGCAAACCAGGGTATTCCTTTTTTCCCCCCATACATAGGAATAAATAATTGAACATCATTTACAGGGATTCATTGAGGGGGCAAAACACTGTTTTTCCCAGAAAAATCATATCAGCATTCCCTTGTCCCTGTTGGGATTTCCACACATGGTTATGTTGCTATGACAATACAATTTTAGGGAGGGGACCACAGGCCCTGTTTTAGCAGTGCCAACTGTAGAGTGGGGGAGAAAAACAGAGGCAGGAGGAAAAGCATCAAGACAAAGGATGTCGCCACCCATGCTAAATAAATATAAAGCAGAAATTAGCCTGACAGGATTTTTATGGGTCACACTGTAAATGACTCACTCACGTACGGTGTGTTTGAATTTCCTCGCAGCCTCTCTACGGTCTGCTCCAAGCCAAACTTCAGCTCATCACACACGCCTACTTCGAGGAGAAAGACTTCTCACAGATCTCAATCTTGAAGGTGAGAAAACAGTCAGACTAAACCTGTTTGAGTGAGGTAGTAGTATTTGTACCTTCCGGTCAGCTGCTTGCTCACCTCCTGTTTTCGCTGCAGGAACTGTACGACCACATGAACAGCTCTCTGAGGGGCTCAGCTCTGGACGGATCACAGGTTTATCTAGGTACGTGCCAGATCTGTCGGATAACAGGAGGGTTTAACAACAAATCTCAGCTTTTATTTATCCTTTTCATAAACATTTTGTTTTTCTCCCATCAGGGATGTCGCCGAGAGATCTAATCCTGCACTTCAGACACAAGGTGGGGAAAATCTGATTACTTTAAGCACTAAAATCCACCCAAAATATCCTGTTTATTTACATTTTTTTTTTTTTAAATCTTTGCAGGCTCTCATCATCTTTAAGCTCATTTTGCTGGAAAAGAAGGTGAGAATTCAAACTTTGATGCATCCTTCCCCTTTTCTTCATATAATCTGGTAATTTTGAGGTTCTGTCAGTCCTGGCTCTAAGAGAAGACGAGGCCTCTATGATGTGGCTCTTTTAGCTCATCTTCCCGATGACTCCTTTCAGTCCCTTTCAGGTATAAGAGAGTCCTGACCCAGTTTTTCTAGACAAACATTTCCACCATATTTGCTCTAAATATAACCATATAATGTTAATGTATACTTAGGATTCAGATATTGATCAGTATGCTTTTTAAGTTGAGTGGTGCTCAGTATTGGCAGAGACAGATTCACATTGGATAAAGCTTGCTGTATCTCTGATGTCTCTGATTTGTAGTTATTTCTATTTTTAGACTTTTGAAAAAAGTTCCTGTGCCTTTTTATACACTGAAAAATGTTTCCAAAAACTTTGTATATTTTAAACTTAGTCTTACCCACGCCTTCCCTCTTCCTTGCAGGCAAATCTGCCCAAGTTACTTTAAACTTGCAACATTTTTCTTTCTAAAAGTCTCCAAACCTGATGTCCAAGATCAGACATACAAATCTTTTTAGGCATCCATATTCATAGACCCATCATACCGGATATTTATCCTAAAACGTTTAAAGGATCGAGCTCAGGTAGTTTTCCAGTTTGCCTTGACAGCAGGGACCTGAAGTTTTGCACAGTTTCTATTAAGAAATGTCTACTGGAAGCTTTTAGCCACTGTGAATTGGCATGAGATGACCCTTTGGCTCCTTTATTAATTGTATTAGTCTTTTATACACTTATAGATCCTGTTAAATTCTGTGTGTCTCGTCCATTTTTAAATATTTAATGATCTTAGTTGCTGTGAAGTCCACCCTCCATTATTTGACTTAATACATTTTTAAGGCTGATTCCATTACTGCCATTTAAGTCCTGTTAAATTGTTGATCTGTGAATGCGATTTACTCGTGTGTGTGTGTGTGTGTGTGTGTGTGTGTGTGTGTGTGTGTGTGTTAGTTGTGTTTTTAAAAACGTTTTTCTGCTGTTTTGCCTTCATGTCTCACTTCTTATTCTGTCTGCTCATCCATTTTGTTCCTCTTTTCTTTCTTTCTTCTTGCTCATGTTTGCAGGTCCTGTTCTATGTGTCTCCTGTCAACAGACTAGTAGGAGCTCTGATGACAGTGTTATCGCTGTTTCCAGGTCAGTAACTCCAAGAGGAAGACAGATCTGGCACTGATCTTTTGAATCAGGGCTTTGTGACACCCGGCACAGGAGTTCTCTAATAAAACTGTTTGTGTTGTTTTTGTGTTTTGGATTCTTGTTTCATTTTATTGATTATTTTGTTCCAGTTTTGACTTTATGCTCATTCTAGTGATTATTTTCGTTTTTGGCTAACTGTTAGGCATATGACACATTCATGTTATGCAAACCTGTCCTGCAAATATCTTTGTGCTCTTCCAGTGTGAAAGGCTTTGCAGCCTGTGGTGCAATTGTAGTAGTAGACTGATAGAACGTGTTTGCTGTGACATTCGTGCAGGCATGATCGAACACGGCCTGGTGGACTCGTCCCACTACAGACCTAAGAGCAGCGTGTCAGAGGACCAGAGTTTAGTGGAGAGTGTCTCGGGTGCCGAAGAGTTCGTCTCTGTGTCTGTCACCGACATCGATAGCTCCGCCCTTGACCTCGGGGTGGAGACGGCCCAGCCTGCCACAGAATCCTCTGGGAATAGCTCAGAGGGCGACAATCACCACCTCAAGCCGCCCTCACGCATCTCTCCTGAGTCCTCCGAGAGCGAGTGGGAGACTCTGGACCCCAGCGTGCTGGACGAAGGTGGACCGCAAGAGGCACCTTCTGAGACTGAGCCAGAGCTCCCGGAAACATTTGACTCCAAACCCGGAACGCCGATCACAGTGCAGCCGCAGGCAGTCACCGGTCAGGGAGGGGTCACCCAGGGCCTGGTGTCAGGTCTGGAGGAGGATCAGTACGGCCTGCCACTCGCCATCTTCACTAAGGTAACAGCAGCGATTAATACTTCTGTTAAAAATTCTGTTTCCTTTGAATTGGTGCAACCCTCAGACCTAAATCTGAGAGGACTTTTGCCGATTGCCGTCTTCTTGTGAGTCTTTTCTGAAGTTTTCTGCGTGACCCTGATTGCACCTGTTCCTGTTTCACCTTTTTGATTAGAAATGTCTTCTTGACACAACTTTATAATTTATCAATATTGTTTAATAATTAACCATTAAAATCTCAGCTCAGACAGCTGGGTGGAGATAAGCAGGTGTACGGCTGTCATAAACACAGCGGCCTTTGTCTTTTCTTGTTTCCAGGGTTACCTGTGCCTGCCCTACATGGCGCTGCAGCAGCATCACCTCCTGTCAGACGTGACGGTGCGAGGCTTTGTCGCCGGAGCAACCAACATCCTCTTCCGTCAGCAGAGGCACCTCAGTGACGCCATCGTCGAAGTAAGTCCCGTGTGTGTGAAACTGTTGTGTTAACTTTTTAAAATGTAAGTATTTAATTTTTTTTTTTTTTTAATACTTCACTGCTTCAGGTGGAAGAAGCTCGTATCCAGATCCAAGACCCCGAGCTCAGAAAGATGTTGAGTCTGACCACTGCAGACCTGCGCTTCGCCGACTACTTGGTCAAACACGTGACGGAGAACCGCGACGATGTCTTCCTGGACGGGACGGGCTGGGAGGGTGGAGACGAGTGGATCAGAGCCCAGTTCACCCTCTACCTTCACTCCTTACTGTCTTCTGCATTACAGCAAGGTAAGACAATCAAAACTGTTCACAATAAATGTGTAAAATAAAGACATAGAAAGGCTCTTACAAGCAATCACATGCTTCCATAAAACACATGTGGGAGCTTGTACGCATTTAGAAATGGACGGGGCGTTTATATTAGGTTTAATGTCTTCAACTAAATCACAACAGACAGAATAATGTGTGAAAAACAGACAAGACGAGCGGGATAAATAAATCTATCCTGCATTTCTAGCTGTTTCCACATCTGATAGTTGGTTTTAACTTTATTTCCAACTAGTACAACTTAAAAAAAACCTCATAAAGCTCTCATCCTGTTTAGATGCCTTACTAGTCAGGATTGGCGCTGCCATATTGCATGTAACTGATGTCTTTGTTTCCCATCTCTTCCTTTCAGATAGCGAGCGGCTGCTGGCAGATTACGGGGCACCTTTCGTCACAGCGTGGAAGATCACCCACAACTACCGGGTGTGGTACAGCAACAAGCACCCCGGCATGACCGCCGTCACCCCAGGGTAGGTGGACAGGAGAGCGACTGACTTCTGTTACCTGCAGCTTTTGAATGTTTCTTATTTGTTTTTCATGATCCCATCTTCTCCGTTGTAGACATCCGTTCCAGGGTCAGTACAGCGTAGCCGACGTAAAGCTACGACTCTCACAGTGAGTGCAATTTCATGTTATCTTATTATTATTTTCTTTTTCTTCTAAAAATCAGGGATTTGTATCTAGTTTTAATAGCAGATAAGATGCAGGGTGAAGCTTCACCCCATCGCTTGTTTTCTGCAGCTCAGAGCGTGTATGTTGCTGCCCTCTAGTGGTGGTTAGAAGAAGTCAAAGCTGCAGCAGCAGAGGGAGCAAGAGAGTATGGGGCTCCTGTCTTTAAAGCCTTGCTTAAAGACTATCTGCAGAACTTTCCCTCTTTATTAAACCAAATACAGAGTTTGTAAAGTGACACCTGCAGGATGCAGGAGTACTCATCGTGAGACCTTGCCCCGCCTTGACCTTAGTTGTCAAGTGGTCCCACGAAACCTTGGCTGATTGTGACGCACTCCCATTTTCACACCTTGGCTTGTGTTATTAGGCACAAGATCAATAGGGGGTCCATAGCTGGACTCCCTTAAGGTGTAATAGACCTCCCACCCACTCCATGACATGCTGGTCAGTCACAGGAGCACGTTCAGTGAGAGACTGAGTACCAAAAAGCACCACTGAACCCACTGTAACCAAAATAATTTCCCCTAAGGATCAATAAAATATTCTGATTCTGATGACCCTCTGAGGGACACTCCCAATAGGGGTTACAAATCTGGGACTCTCCACCAGTTCCTCTCTGAACTGAAGAAGCTTCTTGGATGAGAGGTGAAAAGAAACTTGAACAAGTCCAGACGCTTTTCTTTCCAAGCTACTAAGACTACGATGACCTTAATGACTGAGAACCTTCAGACATGTTTTGTTAGTACTAAACTCTGCATTCAATACTGTTGACCGTTACATTATGCATACGTGCTGAGATACTGGGCGGGTGTATCAGGGTCTGCCTAGGAGTGGTTCTCTTCTCAACGACGTGATACAAGATCACCCCCCCAGGCACATTCTGAGCATTTTTAAGATAAGTTCTCCTTGTTTGTTCCCCCTGCCAGACGTTTTTTTTTTTTTTTTTTTAAAGTAACACTTCAGGTATCCTTCCCACTTTTGCTGAATCCTCTAGCTTTTACTTTGAAGGAGCTGTCTAATTTTTAACACATGCAAAAGTTGATATATTTGTACCGTAAAGATCTTGACAGTTTATTTTTAAAAAGGGCCAAAGTTACAAATAATGATGCCAGCGTTTGTGTAGGTAAACCCTATGAGCCAAAGGTTCAGGCTTCAGATTCCTTCAGTGTTTTCTACTGTTGGCTCTGTAATGTCACAATGAGGGGTTATCAGTTTTTTTTTCAGACGGGCAATAATATGAGAGTCTGCACCAAGGCCCAGTAAAATATAAATAAAGTTTATTTTGAACTTTGAATCATGCAATTGTTACTCTAAAAAAAGTCCAAGGATGAAAATATGGAGCTGGAAATGGTAAAACAGTGTTTGCTTAAAATGCCAAATGAAGTAAAAATAAGTCAAAATATGGGAGATTGAGAGTCCCAGCTCTGAAGAATGTGTTTTTAAAAATTTAGCGTCTGTTTTTAGACCCACTGATGATTAAATTTCCAATGGCTGTCAGGCTCGGTGCACCCAAACACCCCAGCTGTGAATACTTTATGAATACAGTATATGACAAGGAGCAGCAGGCAGCGCGTCGCTTGGATGGATATAGCAGCTCAGCGGTCAGAGTCGTCTCGGGTCGGGGGTTGCAGTGGCAGCGAGGGTCTCATATCAGCCGGAGTCATTAATTATGAGTGAGTTTCATTCTCAAAAACGGAGCCAGAGACTTCTTCAGCCTCAGCTCCAGTTTCATTCCAGGAAGTGTGGATGAAAGGCGACTCCGTCCACAGCTGGAGTGCCGCGTCTAGTGTTACGCTTCAGATAAATGCCTTCCCACCACAAACACACACACACAGTGGAGAGTGTCTAGGTCCCTAACTTAGCTTCATGGTAGGATCTGCTTGGCTGTCATACCCAAAGTTCTCGCTTTACCCTCTGGTGTTCGGTGACATGGCCCCTGAGAAATTTGTCGTAATGCTTCAGTAAACAAACACACAGACAAACAGCACAGGGTTAGATTAGTGTAACTGCACAGCGTCCAATCAGGAGACTTCTACTAGATCAACAGACACCCCTGTGCACTTTTAGCACATTTACTTTGAAAAATTATAAAACGTATAAATTGAAAATAATGTAAAATTAGCAAAATTTCAAATTAAAATTCATTAAATATAATAAAACATATTTTGCAGTTTAAAAAAAATCATAAATTATTGAATAATTTTTAAAATACTTTTTGAGAATCGGAGCAGTGACTCTGCAGACTGCGCAGGAAGATTTTCTGGTAATCGGCACATAGAAATGACTTGATTTAAATTTGGCAGGTGTCCCGATTAGGATCACGTTCCCGTTAACCTCTGGAGCGCTTCCAGTACGGCTGCTATATTTAGATTTGTGAACATCTCCGTTTACTATGAACAAAATCTTTGCAACTGTTTATTTCCGTAAAGACATCAGAATCAAATATCAAGTGGCACTAAATAGGATGAGAAAGGTCACCGATGTATTACAGTTATTGAATCAAGAACGCGCGAGAGTTGTCTTTTAGTAGAAAATAAATAAATAAAAACAAATACAATAGAAACACTGAACGAGTATTTTTACACATGCAATATAAAATATTAAGTATAAAGAAGCCAAAGCAAAAAATTAAAATAGTCACAAAAAAACAGGATGATTATTTGTGTTTGTGAGAACATATTGTGTCATTTTATTTATTCAGTTATTTATTTATTTATTGTGAAATAAAAACTTCCAATAGGAAGTATATTTAGTGTCTGCAGGACACATGTTGTCCAGATGCTTTAGTATCACCATGGCAACCAAGAAAACAGAGCTTTAAAATGAGTAGTATGCGCTGTACTTTTTCCTAAACATAACCAAGTCTTCAAAATCTTCTTTTTTCCACAGAAAACGTAGCATTATGACGATGTTTAATAAGTTTTAGTATTTTAACTTGGAAACTTCAAGTAGAAATGCAAAAACCTCTGACATAAATGACGCAAACTCTGGTCTTTGGTGTGAACCGTGTGAACACTTCACCACCCAATCCCCCCAACTTCCTGTTTCTCCTTTTAATTGTAGAAAATATTCATTTTGTGTAGATATATCAGTACATATGAGACTGTGCAGCTGAAAAATTGTGCTCAGTCAGAAAAATAAGGAGTGGAAATTCATGTGCAGGCATAAAAGATTTAAAAAAAACAAACAAAAAAACAGGAGGACAATTTGTATTGAGAAACATGAATCAGTAGATTAGAAGTCACAAGTGTTTTGCAACCTGCTGCGTTGTATCGGCCAAGACAGCTATGAGTCACACCAGCCAATAAAACAGCATATTAAAATGTTCTATCATACCAAGAAAGCTTGTTGTGTTTTCTTTAGTAACATGTGTCATCGGTGACCTTTTATTTATTTATTTGGTGTCCGTCAGTCTCGGGACATTCTCCTGACCCCAAAGAGCTGCCTTGATGCTTCTCATCAGCTGGAGAATCAGCAGAAAGCTCTCCCCCTGTGTTTCCCTGCATCGGTAAACACAGAGCTGTTTTACTGCAACTTGAGACATCACGGCTGGGGAAGAGGGGGGGACTGGTGTTAGTGGGGCAGACGGTGACGAGCCTGATGTATCCCACTGCTTGGGAAAGTTTAAAAGAAGGCTGAGTCTGTGCACTCCACTCAGCTCATCACTGGATTAAAGAAAGAGAAAGACTCAGTGCCACGCTTGACTTCCTTGTGAATGTGCTGTGTTGCATGTGTATTATTGAAGCGCCAGGAGGGGGCTACTAAAGGCCAACTCTTTTCATGTCCCCTTGTCATCAGCATTGGACAAAAAGCAGCCGGTGGCAGAGATGCTCTCAGAAAACAGAGTCATGTGATGAGCTGCACGGGTGCAGAGACACGCACACACACACTGATTCTTTACTGTTGGCGTACCGCGCTCTGCTATATAAGGAGCTGTTTTTTTGGGTCACTCAGCTCGATGGAGAGTGCACACAGACGCTCTGGGCTTTCTGGAAACCAGTGTGAAACTGGGTGGCAGGTTTACATGTGAGCCACAAAGTTTCCATTATTTCACCCAGATTTCCCCTGAACACATTCAAAGTTAAGATTTTTTCCAGTGCTGCAGTTCATCTTGAGCAAAACATTTAAAACCGTGATTCTGGATCTCGTTCATTAGTATTCATTAGTATTAAACTAATACTCTAATTTTGATGTATTTCTGATCATATGTGAGCTTTAAGATCTTAAGTAGGTTTCCTTAATCATGTGTAATGAATAAACATAAACCACTAAACCAGTGTCAAGAGCCATCCTTAACCCTCAAGCGACCAGGCTAAGAATATCCAGATGGGATCACTTGTGACTTATCAGGAATTCAGTTGTTCATGTACCAAACAAGGAACAAATTAACAAAAAAAGACGAATTTGCAAGGAAAAAGTAACAAATTCTCAAATTAAAAAAGAAAAAAGAAAGTGTTTTGTTTGTTTTGTTTTTTTTAACTGAAAAATTGCAACATTTTCCTGGAAGGGGGGGGGGAAAAAAAAAAAGAAAATGCCAGAAATTCTCAAGGTGAAAGCCACAGACTTACGAGGAAAGAAATCACAGGTTTCTTCTTTTGTTTTAAAATTTGTGAGAAAGAAGTAACGAATTTTATAAGGAAAAAGTGACAAATTCAAAACGAGCCCTTTAAAGCAAATCGTGTTCTGGCTTTTCTTTTTCCCCACTGAAAAACCAAAATAAATTCCACAATATATTTTGTAATTATTAACTTACAAAAAATGCCCACTGTAGCAAATATGATACAAATGAACACTCATATATGCAAATTAATATTTCATTTATTTTAAAGACCAATCGGAAGGTTCAATAAACACTCAGTTCTCAAAAAATGTTTCTTTTGGCAATTATTTCATGGTTAAGGCTTTAAAAAGTTTTTTAAATTTTACATCATATTTTCTACAGGAATACTTTCTTGTTAATATGAAAGCCGATAATATCAAAACAAAGGAACCGCATATTTCCACAATTTCTCTACATGAAACGAATGTAAAAGTTGTGAAATTATTGTTCGGACACATTTTGACCATAAGAAATTGTCATAACAGCACATGTCAACAGACGACTGTGATGGTAAATTAACCCACATTCATATAAAGGAGATTATATGGATTAAGTTTAAAAAAAGCTTTTAGTGTCAGAATGTTTAAAATAGTCTCAAATCCAACATGACAGGAATTGTTAGCAGTGCTAATGGACGTTAGACACTTGCATCAGGATAAGCTTTGTTAACAGGGACGTTTGCAAGACCAAAATAAATAAATTAATGGTGCTTTTGTCCCTTACTCATATATTTTACTCTTACTGATATTTTATTTTTCTAGATTTATACTAAATATGGTCTCCAAGAAACCCTGGGAACAATGTGCTGCAATACAGTCATATACAAAAGATGATTAAACAACAACAACAATCATCCAAACATTAAAGACAGTTGCTAATTTTGCAAGCTTTGCAGATTTTTTTTATTTAAATTTTTTTAATTTGACTACTGGTGGCACTGTTGAGTCGGTGATGGTAACAAATGGGGTGCTGAAAATATAAAACAAACAGATTTTATTTTATTTTGTTCATTTAGGAAACTTCTACTCTCACTTATATTCGGTTGCTTTAACTTGCGTGACCCAACTGCCCTGCTGGGATTGTCCGTCAGCAGATCCTCTACTTTAGCCAAAAAGAAGCACAGCGAGGAGAGGTTCCTGCCGAGGAAATGAGCAGCCACAAAGCTGGATTATTGATCCTAGCAACATGGGCTTAGCAACCGCAGCTTGTTTGGCAGATCCACTTGCAGGCGACAGCGCTGCAGGGCGCTGCCGTCTGACTCCAAGATGCCGCAAAGTTGACGCTCTGCTCTGCTTCTGCGGAGAGCGGTGTCACGTCGATGCTACTCTGGCTCTGTGTGGTTTGAAGGAATGATGGCACTACGCACACGTCTCATTTTCTGTTTGGTTTTAGGTTTCATATGTAGACTTTACATCCTGCAGGCCTCTCAGAGCCACTCTGAATCTTGGCAGCAGTTTTTCTTAGTGGAAATCTTGAATGTTTGCTTTAATATTCACAGTTATTGCATTGATTTAGTTTATTTTCTCTGCCTTTTGATGTGTATTAAACTTGACATAATAGGGCCAAAAAGGGAGGAAGCTCCCAGGAGAGGATGGGTTATATTACAGAAATGTCACAAATTTATGAGGAAAAGAAACTCACATATTTGAACTTTTTTAAAAATGAGTTAATAAATAAACCAAAGATGGACAAGAAAAATTCCCAGACTGCAAATTTATCATTATTAAGACATAAATTGAGGTTTTTTTTTTAGTTTTTTTAAATTGTCAAACTTTAGAAGAGAAAGAAGTCAAGTGAAGCATAAAAAAGTAACAAGTTATTGAGGAAGAAAGTCACGATTTTGTGATGGGAAAGAAGTCACACATTTAGGGGGGGGAAAATCAGTTATATGAGGATGAAAAGTTTTATAAAAACCTTTTTTAATAAGTCCCTGCAGACTTGTAGTCTGAATCGCAGTCTTTTAGGTTAAATATGGCCATAAATATGGAGAATAAAAGCGAGAGCCTGCCTTCATATTCATTAAATTCTGTCTTAAAGATTTTCTTGTTTTCCTCAAGCATTTTATTTAACATAACATAAACATAAATAAGACAAATTGAGACTTGTTGGCTCACAGAACATATGTGAGTGTGTTGAAATCCAGTGACGTAATCACATCACCTGTAAGTGCATCCCAAACCTCGGCGTTGCGGGCCTCTGGTTTGATTTTCACGTGTAGTAAACTTGACAGTGAGTTTATGTTCAGATGAAACGGCTGATTAGAGGCTTGAGTGACAGACGTCTGCTCTCTGCAGCTGCTGACATATATCCCCATCGTCTTTTTTAACTACGCCGCTGTTTGCCCAGATGATGCAGGAGTGAGATTCCTGCTGAATGTCAGGTCAGCGGAGATCCGCGTGAAAGGTTGTGTGCTGGATTCGCGCCAAGCTGCTGTTCAGATAAAGCTAGGCGCGGCCGCATTTAGCCCTACATTTGTTGTGAAACTTAGTCGTCTTGTTTCCGCTGTTGGGTCAGCTCCGATCATCACATTCACCACCTGTGACTGATGCTCAGCCTCTTTGCTGTTACATAATCCTCTATAACAGGTTTGTGCAACATTGAGCAACAGCACGTTTATGTGGTTTCTTTCCTGGAAAGGAGGAAGAATTCCTTTAGTGTCAGATTGTAGACAGGGAGATGAAAAGAGACTGCTTGTTCTGGGCGTTTGTGAACCTTTTGTTTTCTCTTTGCAGCTCGGTGCAGAACAGCGAGCGAGGGAAGAAGATCGGAAACGCCATGATGACAACCAGTCGCAGTGTAGTCCAGACTGGGAAGGCAGTCGGTAAGGCAGCTGCTCAGTTAAACCCAGATCAAACTGTTACCAGTCAACATGTCATTAAAGTGCAAACTTTGAGCTTTAATTCAGCTTTCAGTTTGAGCCCCAAAGAGATGACAGTACAAGTGAAGTAGGCCATCATTAGGCTGAAAAATAAATCTATTAGAGAGATCCAACAATGTGGCACATTCCTAAAAAGCAGACGGGCTGGCTCAGCATCACCAAAAGGCCTGGAAAACCACTGAAGTGGATGATCACAGAATTCCATGGTTCAGAAAAACCTTTTACAAAATACAACCAAATGAAGCATTTTTGAGGAGGTATGCATATCATTGTCAAAGGCAAATATAAATACAGAAAGTTGACAACAAGGGGCAAAAAACACCAGTTACACTCAAAAACAGGAACGCCACATAAGACTTGAAAGACTTATGGCAGGAATGGGGAGCTCCAGGCTTTCAAGGGCCAGTGTCCTTTAGATATCACCCTGGGTCAACACACCTGAATCAAATGATTAGTTCATCAACAGGCCTCTGGAGAACTTCACGACATGTTAAGGAGGTAGTTTAGCCATTTAAATCAGCTGTGTTGGATCAAACACACATCTAAAACCTGCGGCCCTTGAGGCCTGGAGTTCCCCCACCCCTGACTTATGGCATGGAACCAGGAAATGGAACCTTCACTTCAATTTCAGCTTGCTTTTATTTATGTATTGCCAAATTACCACAAGAGTAGCTCTCAAGGGAATTTATATTGTAAGGTAAACACCAAGCAGTAAAGTACAAAGTGATAATGAACCAAAGCAAACCGCAAAAGCAACCCAAGAGTTTCTAAAGGGTAAAGAAATTGAGTATTCTTCAGAGACTTAGTTACCTGATCTCTGTCAAACACAGCATGCTTTTAAGTGTTTAAATACCAAACTGAATGAAGTTTTATTAGAGACTGTAGAAACACTTACAGACCTAGCTGTAACCATGACTTTGCCCTTATTAAGTAATCAAATGTCTACTGTAAGAAATCGTTCTGGTGTCACTGTAGGAAAAACAAAAAAGTAAAGTGAAATTCTCTATTTTCCACTCTCAGGTCAGTCAGTGGGAGGAGCATTGACCAGCGCCAAGACGGCCATGTCCACCTGGTTCTCCACATTGGCTCAGCCGGCACCAGCATCCACCCCAGCCTGTCCTGAACCTGCCACTGCAGTCAAACCGTGACAACTGACACCCCCGGAAATCCTCATTGACTCTGTTTCTGTGTCATCCTCTGATTGTGAAGCTTGGGGGCCGACAGAGTGAGCGCTAGTTTCATGAAGGATAGTAAATCTCTATTCAAAATCAAATGAGAGCCATCTGAAATATACAGCCATAAGTTGGTGTTTCTGGCACTTTTTTCCAGCATCATATTTGCGGGGCGCATCCCAAACAAGGAGGCAGACACTGCCTTTGTGTTAACTGTACAGTCCATAACCACTGTGAGGCAGAGACTGCCACTGCTTTTGATCAAAGCCAGAAAATTCAGCAGGTTGCATTTTTATGTCTGACCGCCTCTTTCTCACTGCTGCCGTTTGTATTGCTGGATGCTTTCCTGTGAGACACTAGAGATGCTGTTCTGGAGTTTGCAGTGTTCACTCTGTGCTGCATATTTATACAGTTTGTCTAAAAAGGTGACTATTTTGCTGAGAAATGACATTAAGTAAAATATATATAGAAAACATAAGTCACAGCATTGAATGGAAAAGCATGATCTGTGGTCCCTTGAAAGTTTTAATGGTACACATTTTAAATGCAGTCTGGATCCCGTTTACCAGTCCCCTGTGGTAACATTGTGGTTAATGCAGTAACAGCGTGAAATATAACGTATCACTTACAACAGCAAATCAAGTGGTAATGAATCAGAATTATCGTTTTTAATTTAACAGGACTGATTTTAAATGAAAAAATCAAAACAAAAACTTCTTTATAATAGTCGCTAACATCATCAAATTTAGCAAGCTAATGCTACTTTTTAGCTAGCTTGAGAAAAAGAATATTATAAGGAACATTATTGATTGCTTGATTTTTTTTTTTAAACAAATAACAAACAAACAAACACCAAACAAACATAGCCAATGAAAAGTAAGTTAAAATTTCTGTATTATTTAAAAATTTTGATTTACTTTTAAGTTAAAATTATTAGATACCCAACTTCAAATGTTGACTCCTCTCTAGAAGCTAACCTGAAATTTTAATTTATGGATAGTAAAAAAGTCAGAAACAAGCTTTCCTAGAAAACATGCAGTTATAATGATTGACATTTTTTTTGAATATTGTTTTTAAAAAGAGAAGAATTTAATAAGATGAGTCTAACATTTTTTTTAAGCAAAAGTCCCCCCCCCCAAAACTAAAACACACAAGAAAATTGGCTAATGTTACTTTACTTTTCAACTAGCTTACAAGTTAAAAAATGTAATTGTAAATGTAAAATTAAATTTCAGATTTCTTTCCTTTCAGATGGAACTTCAGACTTCTAAGTCGTTGTGATAACAACATTGTGTTTATGACTTAAAGTTTATGGACCTTTAAATCTTTAAAATCTTTGCAAATGTAGGAACTAATACGTGAACACTATTAACATGACCATAAGACACTAATGTTACAAAGAGAAATGTTGGTTTGATGTGACCATTCAAACAAAGTTAACCAGTTAACTTTGTTTGAATTTTTTTTTGCTGCTGTTACCAGAAAAACAGACTTTTTTTTTTTAATGGCAAATGTTAGCTTTAGCTAGGTAACAGCTAAAGAAAAAGCTGGCGTAAAAAACCCACCAATGTTACTTAAACTGGCTTAATTTGGCTGTTCCAGGATATTTTGGTGAGGAGAAATAAAATAATTTTATTTTAGACAATAACGGGAAGGAGTCAAAAAGGAGAAAATGGGAAGCATTTTTTTAAACTAACTTGTAGCTTAAGTTACTGAGTCCACTGTATTGTTTAGTATCAATTATTTTTACATGTAAATGTTTTTATTTGATTTACATTTTGTCTGTTTTGTGGAAATATGTAATTAAAAACGGTATCAAATTGAATAATTCTTTTCAGTTGACATTACTTGATTAGTCATAGCTCTAGATTTGATTCACTCCTACATAAACATTACAATTCCAAATTTCAAATCGCGAACACGCTGTTATGATAACACCACAATGTTATTACAGAAATCCTTGTGAACCTAATGTCTGATTGTGATGAAACCCAGCTGTGTTTGACAGGGTATTGTAATCCCTTACCTAAGCCTTTTTGTACTTTACTGTCAGTATACATGCATAAATATCTTTTAAAAAGTATATTTGAAGATGGTAAAGCAGACAACTTATTTATTTCTTGTGTAACTTGTTGTCCCACGACTATCCATGTTTTGTTGTAACAACACTGGAAAAAGTCCCAGTCTGTGGACCACTGTGTATTTGCACAAAGCAGCTGTTATATCTTCTTTTTATGGATCTTTACCTTGTATAACTGTAATTTTGAGGTGCTTGAAGGATCTTTTCCCTCCATGCTACAAATACTCAACAACTGTTGGATTAAAAGTGGTCCAGTGAGCATGCTCTGTCCAGTCCAGTTTTACAGTTTTTGTTTTCTTCTTCACGCTTCTTTGGACATTGACTCATTTTCTGGTGTTTTGATTTAGAATTAAGTATGTTAAATTGCTAACTGTAAAGAAAAGCTGCTTTTTTAAATCCTCTAATGATATATTTTCATTTTGTATTTAAGTATATATATATATATATATATGAATGTATTATGAATTCAGATTCAGATTATTTTCTTGACAGATGCTTTTAATGTATTGGAGAAGGACATCGGGTTAACTATATTGCTGTATTAAACAATCAAAACAAAAACCCACCAGACTTATTTTTAGCATACACGGGAGCATTTATTTTCCTTTATCCCTCTGGGTTTTTGTCTGGGAACAAATGTAGGTTAGTCCACCACCCCCCACCCCACCTACACAAAAAAAAAGCGCTGGTGTGTGAGTGAGAGAGGGGGGGCTGTTGTTGTGGTGGCAGCACCACATGGCTCGACAAAAACACAGCACAGTGTTGTCCGACAACTGCACGCTGGCATAACGGGAACTCATGAATCCGACGACCTTGCATGTGGCTTCACCCACCGAATCCCTCCTTCAGGGGAACTCATTTATGTTTTTAAATGATGCCTAATGATTAGCAGAAATCTAAAGAGAAAACCCTTAGTTCCGTTTCTGGTACATAAACATCGATGTTTGTGTTTTAAGTTCAGTTATTACCCAACTATTTCACAAATGACAGCATGTTTCCACTTTCAAAACCTTTCTCCAGACTCATTTCTCACCATCCTCAGTGGTGCTTGTCTATTAGAATTTTTCTAATGCGACATATTGGGTTCAGATAATTTCAAAAAGTAAACTAAATGACAAATTTGTCCAAACTTAGTGCTGTTGGGTAAGTCCTAAACTCCTGAATGTAAGCCTCAACATTACTGTTTTGACCATTTTTGGAGCGTTAAGGCATCAAAAGGACAAACGAGAAGAATTCCAGCTTATTCACTCAAGTTCGCTGAGGTGAAGCCTAGCAGACATCACTTGACCAGCTTCACTTTTCAAATTGGCCACACCCGACCCCAGCATCCACATGGATTAGATTTACAGTTGCAATGAAGCTGAAAAGGTTTCCCATATCCTATATCTAGAATCATGTTTATTCTGCTGCAAAGTTGGGCAGTTTCACATGAAACAGACTCTAATTACTGTCTGCAACACATCTCTGTGGAACAGGGGACTTGACTCAGCTAGTTGTACTCCTATATAAAAGCAAGGTTGCTGATGAGCTGTGTGATTTTGCAGGTAAATCGCTGTTGTGCAGCAACTGTGTCACTATTTGTGGAAGAACTTCTTTCAGATCTTAGGTTTTGGCTTTACTCTATGTAAGTTGTTAATGTGAAATAGATGGAAAGATTTGCAATTAATTTATCACAATCACTGTATAATCTCAAAGAGACTGCATTCAGTTGCAGACTGACTCAGTCTCGTTGCTATTTTATCACCACTTCAAAGCACCAAAACTGCTTCGGAGGCAGCAACTGACTAGTTGCAGATCTGGTCCCAGTCTTTGAAGCAACAACTGAAGTTGCAACATTTTGCTTTTGGTCTCCATCCCATTTTTCTACTGTGACTAACGTTAACGGGAAAGTAAATCTGAGCAATTTGACAGAAACTATTTTGTTTCTCGATTTCATGTTTGCAGCCTGGTGTTTCCATTTAATGGTATTGATGGCTTCACCAATATAGTATACAAACGCGTTGCATGCATATTTACGCCTTCACACCTATACAGGATAAAAGAATTTGATCAATTCTACCTTTTGGAGCTGTAGGTGTGGAACATCCTTCAAAACAAATGCTACACAGTTGTGTGGAGAATTTGATTACATCCATCAAACCACCATCCATTACTGTAAAGTTTACACAGTTTGACCTCCACTCAGCTGTTTAGCATTTGTTTTAAAGGAAGTTCCACATGTACAGCTCCAAACAGCACTGGCTTGTTTTTCTCCTGTCCACCCCTACATGTCTTTTTCTATCGCTAAGAAAAAACAATAAATAAAAAAAAGTAAATTTTTATTCTCCACATAGAGCTGTACCTTTGGATGTAAAATGCCCTGCTATTTCCTAGGCAGCAATTCTGTATTTGCTCGCTCAGTTTCTGTATTTAGCAGCAACTGCAACTTCACTAACGTCTGTCACATGAACCAGAATAAACAGTATGTAGGGGTGTAAGCAAGACACTTTGACTTCTTGAAAAAGTATTTCAGCAATGCCAGGCATGAAAGATAAACTTGCTTGACAGCATTTTGCATTATTTTACATTGAATAGCTCATTGTTTCAAGGTGCCGAAACCCCACAGCAAAGAATTTCAAAAACGTGCATTATTTTTGCATTTCTTCATCTAGCACCTATTTTTCAAAAATTGTATAACAAAAACAAACAAACAGGGAGTCTAGTTTCAGGAACGTTTTTGGTATGTTTTTTAATAAATTAACGTTCATTCAAAATACAGTGCCAAAGGAATATGATGCAGCCAAACATGCTAGTAAGGTTCGTCATGAAGCACCTGTGCTCATGTTTTTATAAAAAAAAAAAAAGAAAAAAGGAGGAAGACCCCTTCCCTCCTCTAACCCCGCCCCTCTCCACTTCTGCTAGTGGTTGGCGGGACAGTTTCCTTAGCGAAAAAATCCCAAGGCTAGCCCGCTCCTCTCACAACCAATCAGCAGCAAGATTCCTCGATATTCACTTCGGAAAATGTAATTCAATAGGGGAGAAAAAACAAAAAAACAAAAAAACCCACAATCACACTACAGTAAAGTCTGATATTAATTTAAAAGAAAAAAAAAACCTAATACAAAATAGACCTGGTTATTTCCCCACACTAGAACAGTTTTCTTTTAAACATATGAAAAATAGATATTCTATTATACATTTTATATATATTTCAGCAGCTTGGAAATAAGAAACAAAAACTTAAAAAGATGATGAGCCAGAAACCTGTTTGTACTGTGAATGGAGTTGTGTGTTGGAGAAAAACAAAGTGTCACGATCATGTCACGGCAGATCGAGTGAGGCGTTGACTGCTGGCTGTGTGGAAGACCGGTGTGCAAACCAACTCGAGGAACAGGCAGCGGCGGCGTGAGGGCAGAGGACAGAGAGGTGAGGGAGGAGAGGCGACGGGTGGCTGAACCTGCAGTCACCCTCTCTCTCGCTTTTAAAAACAGCCTCTCTGGCCTTTCCCAAAAACCGCAGCCTCTGCTTCCCTCATCTGCAGGCCTTTTGAGGAAATAAGTGATCCTGTTTTTTGAAAAAGGAAAACTCTGCTGGAAATTAAACTTCACCTGCTTTGTGACTGCAAGAGAGAGGAAAAAAAAATAAAAAAAATAAAAAAAAAGTAAACCAGTGTTACTGAAATTTGAAGATGTAAGCTTAAACTCTTAGATTAGAAACTATTTCATTACCTCTGCAAAAAAAGTTAAAGAAAAGCAGCAAATCTTATAAAAGCTGAAAGCAGAGAATGACGCAGTTAAAATCTAATACAACTCTTTTTTTTAAATTAAGAGTCAAACATTTTCTGTTTTAAGAATCAAATGGGGAGAACTGCTGCTTTTCTACACTTTTACACTCTACACTCACTTTTGACTGACTTTAACTATGTTAACTTAACGTCTGAAATCAGCTTCTTTTGCACAGAGCAAAAGAAAAATGTTAAAGTGGATCAAACTGAGGTTCTCATGCTGTAAAGCCAGATTTTCTGCAGAGTATTCCTTCATCAGTAATGAGAGAAGAGGGGGGGGAAAGAACAGGAGCGGAGAGAGGGGGAAGCAACAATCTAATAAGGGGCTTTGGGGGGTAATTTTGGTACAGTTGCCATTGACATTTGAGTAGATTTACAAGTGCATCATTATCCTCATCATCATCTGCATCTGCTGACGTTTAGATTATCATATTGTAGGAACTAGAGCCTGAACGACGCTGGATCTTTTGGTGTGGATGCTCTTTTTTTTCTTTTTTTTTTAAATTAAAAATTCTGTATATTGGTGTGTATATACACACACACACACACACACACACACACACACAATATTAGAACCACCTGCCTGAAGATCAAACAGCTTTGACACCACTGCATTGTACTGCAAAGAGAACTATGATCATGATTTTAGGATAAGTTATAACACCAAAGCTAAAGTGATGTGATGCGTGTCTCCTACCAGTGAGTGGCAGTAATGGACCTAGAGGCTGCTGCACACAACGAAGCACGAAAAGCCAGCGGTGACTTAACGGCTGTCAATGTAAACGAAAATGAGATTTGACACAAACTCCGCCAGGTGAAACTAACAAACTGTGCCACAACTGTTGAGTAATTCCCAGTGAATATAAGAGTGCATCGTGCCTTGAAACGACCAGAAACCTCCAAAGAGTAAACGGAACTGAGGTGCAGAGCAAACTTTGCCAAGTGAAACTGAAACAAAACAAACTGTGTTACAACTGTTATGAACAGTGATAGAATACTGAATAGTTCCCAGTGAATATCAGTGTGTACAGTGGCTTGAAATAACCATCATTGGAACGAAAAATAAATAAAAGATCAGCTTTAACGTTGTGGCTGATCGGTGGAAATACAAACCTGGAGCATTTCAGATTGTTCTCATTATTTATCATGGTTAAAATTACTTTTGGAGGCAGATCGCCGATTGCCTGACCACGTTTCAAAGCTGTGATTCCTACTCTGCTACATGTGCTGCTGACAGTGCTGAGTGAATGTAAACCATGAGTCCAGTGTTTCTCATGCAGACATGGGCAAAAAACTTCCATAAATTTAAACGCTCTTATTTTCAAAGCCCACTCCCTTCCCACCTCATGTTTCCCTACTGGCTGGCTCACTGTTGTGGTGGTCCTTGCCTCTCCAGCCTTTCCCCCTGTGGTAGATTTGGACAGCTGCTGGCACTGGTCAGCAGCTGTCCAAACCGAGTGATGAGAGACTCACCGGAGAGGCAGCTGAATATATTGCACTGTTATTTATCACAGAGACCACAGCAATTGAAAACTGCAGAGGAGCACCTTATAAAACAGTAATATTTATTTTACTCATTTCAGAATGTGACCACCACAAACAGAAACGAAATCTGCAGGAAACACTGGAGTCTGAGTTGCTTGGATGCCTGAATGACCTCAAACTTTGTTTTTTGTGTTACGTTCGTAGAAAAATATCGGACAAGACACGTGCCAATTGGGCACCAGCTGATATCGGTCGGGCTCTAGTTGGAACAGTATGACAAATGTAGGAAAATCTAAACACATTTCACTGGCAA